CCTCTGAAATGGGAGAGTATCTTCATTTAACAGGTCAGAAAGTGCAAGGAATGAGAGTCAGTAACAGTTACAAATCATTATTCTAAATTTTGCCTGCACAAAAGTCTGCTTTTCCTTGATGTGAAATCAAGAAATATATCATGAAGATACTCTCCCAAATCCACAGAGCTGGATGTATAACCTTTATTCTTATTCTTCTCAACTAGTTAAAATAATAGATTTTGCTACCAATATATCCAAGGTGCCTTTTGATTTTTTAACTTATTCTTGTCTTTTGCTCCTATGACAAGGAGAATAAATGAATGCTCTATAGAGACAATTACGTCCATTATATTCCAGAAGAATGTAGAAGTTGGGAAAGATCAAAATATTTGCTGTATGTTAATTTTTGTAAGTAATGTGCATTTGTTACAGTTGGTAGTGAGGAAAAAAAAAATGGTTTGTCTTTGGTTTTTATAATGAAACTTGAAGAAAAAGGAAAAGAAAAAAAAAAAAAGACACAACAAAGAATAACTTAGAGACCAAAGTTCCAGACAGAGTGTCAAGATGTTTGGGTGCAATGGCAATACCCCAAACACCCTGAGTGATCCAGGGCAAGTTATTTCTTCTTCTTCAGTTTTTTGCTTTTACCTGGGGTGAGGGAGCCACCTGCACGCTCAAACATCTCCTCCCATCTGAGCCATGACCTGTCTAATGGCTTCTCCTCTCAGCAAGGCTGTGGTTGGTATTTTACTAAATTTGACCTACATTTCTTAAAGGTGCCAGACGTTCTGAGATTTTGAAAGAGGTAGTTGGCCAAAAACCCATGATGCATTATTACAATACAGTGAAATATTTTGTCAGTAGTATAATCCAGTGATTGTTTGACTTTAAAAAAACCCACCATATTACCTTACATAGGTCACTTTTGCAAAATATTAAATTCCCAGAAGCAGTGCTGCCTTGGTACATTTTTCACAAATCCTAAACTCTTCTCTTTTTCTTTTTTTTTTCTTTTTTTTTTCTTTTTTTTCTTTTTCTTTTCTTTTTCTTTTCCTTTTTCTTTTTCTTTTTCTTTTTCTTTTTATTTTTATTTTCCTTTTTATTTTTCTTTTTTTTCCCTCTTTTCCTTTTTCTTTTTTTTTTTCTTTTTCAGTATGTTAAGAAAACTACAGAATTGAGCCTACCCATTGGAAAAATCAGGGAGGAACGCATGAGAAAAATTTAAGGTTGGTTGCTTATTCCCCCCCAAAATCCAGTCTCCTCAGTGAAAGTGGAAAAACCCGTGGATATATTGGCTTTCTTCTTTTAAAAGATACACTTAGGAGCACTAAATGTGGAACATTTAAAGAAAATAGAGGCAAAAAGGTCAATTTTTCTTGGCAAAAGCAACTAGAGCCTGGATTAACTTCTTAATTCATGACCTAGATTATGGCAAAGAAAAAAAGCATAGTTTAAATTTACGTTTTCAATTTACACTGATGGTAAGGAGAAGTTATTCTGTTGTTAAGAGGAAGTATTCAAATTAAACCCACACTTCATGGTCTGCAGTTGAAAAAGAATTTCAGAATCTAATTTTCTGAAATGTCAGGAGCGAAACATCGCCTTTTGTGTTTGTCACAATTCTCTGTAACTCAGCAAAGAGGATAACACTGCAGTGCTTATTTGCAAAATCTGCTTTGTGAAACTGTCCTTTGTACCCTTCTGCCAGGCAGAGGTGAAATAGTGCAGGGGGAAAGTGAAAGGAGATTTTGGTCTTGTTAGTATTTAGGTAGGTTAAGGAGCAAAAACCTTTTGGAAGCACTTCAAGCTAAAGAACAAAAACTACAGCTGGAGCTCTAAACACTGTGAAAACCTGCAAAGTTCAAATGAAGTTACTGAAAGGAGAGATATTCAAAATAAAGCAAGTCTGTCTCCCCAAGTTTAGGGTTCACTATTTCCTTCTTATACAGACATCAGTCCCAGATTTTGCTTGCCAGATCCTGTGCTGGACTCCTGGTCAACTGAAAGATCAATAGCCAACCTGGTGAAAAGTGGCTGATGAGTAAATAGGAAAGGACTTTGCCTTTAGAAAAAGGACAGGCACAGAAGTCATTTTAGGCTGAGTTTTCTGTGTTCTCTCTTTCATGTATATACTGGAGACATTAAACCCAGAGTATTTTATATTATTTTTGCATTGCATTTCATGATCATATATTTTAATGTGGCTTTGGACTAGAAGTTTTTGCTTTATACTAGAAAACACAATCCCAGCCAATCTGAAGAATCTGTGAACATGGACAATGATCATTTTAGACAAAACCAGAGACAGACATATAAAGCATTAGGAATTCAAAAGTCTAGTTGTATAAATGGTTATGTATACACTTGTGCTTTTTTGTTTGTGGGAGACAGTGAGAAAAATCCCTCTTTAATTACAGTTATTGGTTTATATTTGGGAGAAAAAAACACCTTTATTGGGAGTTAGAAAATCTCCTTAAATTCAAGAATAAAATGGTTATACAACATATTGCTACGAATAGCCGTTTGGCAAGCACACATATAGCTATATTTCACAAAGAAGCATAAGTCTGCAAATGCAATTAAAAGCAAGTGAAAACAGAAAATGTTTTTTGCAAGGTCCCCTTTATAAAGCAATCCATGAAAATCTTTACTGGGAATTCCTACATTGCTATTTGTATAGCTGTACAAACAGACTTCAGTCCCCTGACAAACAAGCCAGCCCAGACAATAGAAAGCCCTTCTCCTCCCTTCTGATAAAGACTGGCACAACTGTGGGATCTTGGTGTGACCCCACAGTGCAAAGCTGCCTCACCTGTGACTTCAGGAATAGGAAATCCATGCTGGTTGTGCTGCAGTCTTCTGAAAACTGTGGACTTTTCAGCTAGGAGGACTCCTTTTGTGTTTCTGAGATAAACAGCATTGAGCTTGCAAATGTTGATTGTTTTTTTTCTAATTATTTATTTGTCTGCAGCAAAAATAAAGGACTCTGTCCTACACATTTCTTGTTCTGCTTTAGTGACCAAGGTTGGTCAGTGGTTCCAACAGCCCTGAGCCTGCACGGCAGGAGACGTCCACCCTAGCAGTGGAACTGTCTCTGAAACTGGCAGGAGCTTCAGCTTACTCCACAGCTACTGCTGCTCTTAGTTAATTTCCTCCATTATCTTCTTTTTGCTCATGAAAGAGAGAGAAGTTCTTATTTTACCAGCTGCAAGTTTAACAAGTCTCTTCTGCTTCCCACAGAGAGCATGAGCCCTAAGAACATCTTCCACAAAGCTTGTGTCTTTGTCCTGAGCACAGTCCAGCATTGTGATGGAAATGTCTACTCTTCCTCACCGATTCTCTTAGGTCTGGGAGATCAGTGGCCCTGAGGAAAATGTTGTGATTTGGCTTGGAAATAAATCAGTTTTGTCAGTGCATAACTGCAGAGGGGAGGGAGGGCAGAGTGAAAATAACTTTTGTTCTAATGGTTCCCATTTCTGATCTCCTGTAAACCTCTTCCAAAGAGCATGGATTTGGACCCTGAGGATCTATAGGTATCTCTCCTCACCTTCTCCCCCCTCATAACAGCTGAAGTGAGAATGGCAGCCATAAGAGAAAGGGTAAAAGCAATGTACTGTCTCTTGGAAAAAAAATCTGTGCCATTTAAGCATTTCCTGATGTTTGAAGCCAGAAACAACCCTGATGCTACTGCTGCTGGTAGTTTTTGTGACCGCCAATGGGCAGAGAATATTTGTCTTCCATCTGTTTTTGTCTCAGAGGGAGCTACTGCACTTGTGACACACTTGGTGTAAAACAGTGAACAGATTTGTCAACACCTTGCACCTTCTTCTCTTCCCTTGCTTCCTTGTCTTGAAGCAGCACTTTCTGGAGCTGCCTGTGTCTGAAGAGCCAGGCAAGGGATGCCTCTTAGGCATGGGGTGGGGTGAGGTGAAGGTTCTTTCATGCTACGAGTGTAACCTGGCTGTGGGCAGTGAGCCCTTCCTGTGAGCATGAATTCACTTTGCAGAAAATGTAGCCCTGATTTAAGGCGTCCAGTGCTACTAACTAAAGGCACAGACTTAAATGTGGGTCATTATAGGGTAGTTTATCCCCAGAACCTTGTGCAGCCATGTGATCATTTCTGGGATTTGACCTGTCTGTAAATCAGATGGGCATTTTTCCATTCTCATGAGTCAACAAAATTCTGTTTGGGAGACAGCGATCCAGTAAAGGCTTGCAGAAATGAGACCTGCTGAGAGTTTCAGTTTATTCTTTCATTTGCCTGGTTCCTGCACAGTTACTCCTCAGTTGTTTTTTTCTCCTGTTTTTGACCTTCCTGCCTTCTAAGACACTGCATGTCTTCCCTGCAGTTTGGAAAGCCTTCTAATGGGTGTATGTTAAGATGAGACTAATTACGCTCTGGGAAAGTCCTCTCTCTTGACCATAAGGGAAATCTGAGCTGAGTACCTCAGACACAGATATCTTTTTATTTCCACTTACATAAAAGCAGATGAGTGCCTTCAAGCACTGCAGGCAGAAAGTTCCCTTCCAACCCAAATTATGTTAGCATTCTGTGAATCTATCAGAACCAGAACTATTTTTCTTACACCTTCACTGGACCACAGAGATGCCGGGAATGAAGTAATGGCACAGGGAAGGGACTGCTTTAACACCACAGCATCTTGTTTGATTTTGGGGTAGACTTTGAAGTATTTGTGAAACTTCTCTCTACCCATGATTTTTAGTTACTATCATGTGAAAATACTGAAGCTGGGAAAAGAATGAATGAATAATCAAATGTAAAATTGCAACTTAGTCCACAATGTGTGTGTCCCCCCCCCAGGCTAATAATCTGTGCATATCACTAGCATGCTCATCACTACTGGTTGCAGTTTTGCAAGTTATTAATAAATAACCAGGATAGGCAATGTTCTTTGCTGCAATGTCCCATCAGCTCACTTCTTACAACCTGCACCTCAAGGACAGATTGGCAGTAGCTGTTTGGTATTTCTGTTTTGCAGATGTTGTAGAGTTTTCCAATGGAAAGGCTGGTACTTTTGATGACCTTTTGTTCGCTGTTGTCCTGTACACAGCAAGCACCATCGTAAGTACATTTTACTTTTAATTCTTCACTCCTAACAAATCCCTTGAAAGATAAAATAAGAATGCTAATCAATCAACAGAACCTGTTTCTCAGACCACCAAAAAAAATTGTGTAGTCTTAAATATGTAAAATAATAAAAAGCTTTAAAATGTCCTTTTAAGGTATTTTTAAAGGGAGAGATCTCGATTCAGTAATAAATAATTTCAAATGTCTTACTAAAGCATGATGTTCATGTTGGTATTGTTGCTTGTTCATCTTCAGTTTATGACATCTACTTGACTGGAAAACCTTGGGAAAGAAAAACTTTCCTTTCTGTAATTGATTTATACATTGCCAAAAACAAAGGATTCACATTTGGAAGAGCTTCAGGGTTTTTCTGTACTTATCCTCTGTATTAGTGGAGATTTACATGTGTTGATAGGGTTCTAGTTGGACAAATTCCTGGGTATGGGAAATAGTTATAACACTTTCAGAAAACCTATGAAATATTTAAAGGTCCTTCAAATTGATCTTTATCTGTAGGGGAGAGGTAAAGGAGAAGAGGCTTCTGCTTTGTTCCAACCAAAATCAAGTAGATTCAAATAGTTGCCATAGCCAGAGGAGATCTTTAATGATCACCTGTGGCAGGGCAATCCCAAGCAGAACTACAGGCTGGGGAGAGAATGGATCGAGGAGAAAGATTTGGGTGTTTTGGTTGATGAGAAGCTCGACTTGAGCACACAATGTGTGTCAAATGTGTTCTGGGCTGCATCAAAAGAAGATTTGTCAGAGGTCAAGGAAGGTGATTCTGTCCCTGTACTCTCTCTGTTGAGATCCCATCTGCAGTGTTGTGTACAGTTCTGTGGCCACCAACACAAGAAGGACATGGAGCTGCTAGAGCAAGCCCAGAGAAGGGCCACAAAGATGATCAGAGGGCTGGAGCATCTCTGTTATGAAGACAGGCTGAGAGAGTTGGGGCTGTTCAGCCTGGAGAAGAGAAGGCTCCGGGGAGAACTTAGAGCACCTTCCAGTACCTGAAGGGGCTACAGGAAAGCTGGGGAGGGGCTTTTTACAATGGGGTGTAGTGATAGGATGAGGTGTAATGGCTTTAAATTGTAAGAGGGGAGATTTAGGTTAGACATTTGGAAGAAATTCTTCATTATGAGAGTGGTGAGTCACTGGCACAGGTTGCCCAGAGAAGCTGTGGATGCCCCCTCCCTGGAAGTGTTTCAAGGGCAGGTTAGACGGGGCTTTGAGCAATCTGTTCTAGTGGGAGGTGTCGCTGCCCATGCATGTGGGCTGGAACTAGGTGATCTTTAAGGTCCCTTCCAAGCCAAACCATTCCATGATTCAAGGTGCTGAACATACCAGGTATGTGAAACCTAATGTTATGTCAGGAAAACACCTCCGTGATTCTTCAAGACAAGACCTGGCTTGTGTCTGGCTAGCTGAGATTATGGGCAGCGTGGCCTAGTAACCATGTCTATCCAAGATATTGCATAGGTAAACTTTTAAACAACTAACTATACTGCTGTAAAAATATAAAAACAAAACAAACAAACAAACAGAAAAACCCCACAACAACAACCAAAAAACAAACACACTTTTTCTGTAAACAGTGGCAGACAGCAAAATTTATGCTCTTTTTTCAGTATGTGAGGAAATGTATTTTCTGTAAATTACCTCACTTTTAGCTAGAGCAAACAGAGCCTGAGTGGTCAATGCAGTGACACTTTTAGAGTAAAACCCCTTCAACACCATTGAGAAAATACAATTAAAACAGCTGAAAAGAAAAACTTCTCACCATTCAAACATTTGAATATATGTTGATGCCAAACCTGCCTGACCAAAAATTTGTGTAACCTTAACCAGGTAAAAAGTAAAAAGCCTAAACCTACTCTTTTAAGGCACTGTTAAGGGGAAAAAAATCCATTCTTCTATTCAGTAAGAGATACTTTAAAATGTCCTACTACAGCATGATGTTCATGCTGTTATTGCTGCTTACTCATGACATTTACCAGATTGTAAAATCTTGGAAAAGTATAAAGACAATTGGGCAAATGAAAACAATCAAGATCAGGGTCGGGCATTGCATGAGAGTGGATGTAACTGAAAGACAAGATTCATCAGTTATTGAAAGATTTTCAAGTATTTTCACAAAGGTGCCACAATAGTCAAAATGAGAACACTCAGTTTAGGCTTTAACTCAGCCATTCCCAGGGCTATGGTCGCTCACCACCAGCATTTCATAAACAGTGACATCTGAATGAAGATCAGCTACTTGAAACCTCATATATATGATTAGGTAGGAAACTGATACCTCCTGACACATTAAATCATAAGCTGGCATAGTGTGTTAGCTCATAAAGATACACTACTTCACAACATCAGATATGTGTTCATGAACAGCTCTTAATGCAAGGCCTGGTTTTGTTTCCAGAAACTGAGTTTATAGAACTTTCTCTGGGTTAAACCAGGCTATAAATGGCATTGGCAGTTCCTGGCACATATTACAGGGACTTTTTTTTTTTTTTTTTCCCCTCTTACCTACAGGAACTGATATTTTGTAGTACCTAAATGATGTCATGGTCCAGAACTTGAGGGTCAGTCTATTCTAACCTCTATGCTGACTAACAAGGGGGACAGACTAGGTGAATTCCACAAGACCCAAGCTCACTCATTCTGTGATTTTCTGTTTTCTTCTTGAAAGTTTGTATTGGCTGAACATTCTTGTATGATGTGAAAAACAGGCCACATGCTGGACAATCTGTTCCTATGTTTTTTTTAGATTTCTTATAACTGCCCCAAATGTGGTGCATTTGGGAACAAAGGAGACAATAACAGCTCAAGTCCATGGAGCACAGAGCCCTGTGCAAGTTACTGCATACTTCAAAGATGAGACAAAAAATCAGCTCCTGTCAGAGAGGATCATCTTTAACCTTAACCAAAATAACAACTACCTAGAGATGAAAAAAGTCATGGTAAGTCTACCATCATAGTGATGTCAACCTGGTGATAAAAACCACATAATCTGTACTAGGAATATGCTGGAACAGAGACAACACTGAACACTAGAGACAGATGAGTAAAAAGCAATTCCAGTGACAGTAGCACCCTATTCACCCAACCAGCTCATAAAACAACGCCTAAAGTAATTGCAGTTGTGACAGTCAGTGTTCTTTTGTGCCCAACAAGCAAGCTCAAGACTTTGCCTCATGAGAAAGATAGATCCTTTCATCACCGTATATCAGTCATGAAATTGAATTTTAAAGCATTTTGTTGCTTTATCACTGTTTGTTGTTCTGCATCACTTACACTACAACTGCATTCATACCGTTGACATGCTGGACATCTTTATAAAACAGGTGAAACCTTTAAAAATGTGCAGTCTTTCAGATCAAATCCTGTGATGTTTCTGCAGACCTCTAAGTTGATTAATTCTTCTTTGTGTCCTGCTTTGCATCACTTGCTTCTGCCATGACTCTTTGAAGATGAGCAGTGTTTAGCTCAGGAGCTTGAAATATTTGGTTGGAAAACAGCACACAGTGAGGCGAGGCTCTGATTAATAACTCCCAAAGCTAAAAGCTGAGTTTCAAATCAGGTTCCTCTTGAGCATGATATTTAGAAACATTGTATTAACCTGCATGAGATAAAGCTCTAATAGCCAAGATTTAGCAGGTGAAGGATTACAGGGTGCTACTACAGCTTCCAAATGTCTTAGTAACTGGAATTCAACATTTGTGTAAACTAAGACATTGGGCTTGAGTTATTGCCATTGAAGAAAAGAATGTGCTTTTATGTGGTGGAAAATAGGGAATTAGGTTGTATTTCTACTTTAAAAGAAATATTCACCCCATAAGAAAGATAGAATTCAGTATCTTCTGTTGAATGGTAGTAATAACATTATATAAGCACTTCAGCAATTTTTGGTCCCCCAGCTGTGTGACTCCAAAGTTACCAGGTTTGTATCTGACTCTGTGGGCTTTTTCCTTTTGCCTTTTACAGGTCAAGCCAGGGCCTCTGCAACAGGATCTGTTCAAGAGGAGCAGTCGACCATATGTGCTGTTGGTCACCGAAAGCAGGGACCTTTACAAGGAGACTGTTCAAAGCACTCGCATCCTCCTGTCTTCCAAGAGAGGCTACATTTTTATTCAGACAGATAAGCCCATATATACACCAAATTCCAAAGGTTAAAATACAAATGCTGCATTTCAGATGTTGAGTAGAAAAGTTATAAGGGCATGATTCAGAAAAGTAATAATGACTTGATCTTTCCTAATCTAAACCCTTCTTGTTTAACCCCAGCTACCTCTGCTTACCAGCCAATAAAGATTTTAAACTCTCCTTCTGCAGCCAGGAATTCTGCAGGACCTGCCCTGTGAATTGCAACTACCCATGTGGAAGTGCCACTGGAGTCAAAAAGTTGTTCTTTCTTCTAGCAGGAGCCAAACAAAACCAGCTCTTTTTTGTTAAAAAAGATTAATGATGACTTTTCTTTGAAAACACAATTATAAAAAACCTGCAAAAAGATCCTATTTCTTCTACTTGCAGTACCAGCAGTAAACATTCTTTCCATTGTAAGACCACAACTCTTCTGTTACTTAAAAATTTAAGTAACAAGAGAGCAAGTTAAAAATGTTCTTGAGTTTGGTTGCAGGCCTTGGTTGCAGAAGGAATACAAAAGTAAGTGAAGCTCTCTGAGTATTTTTTGGAATTTTTTTCAAAAATATCTTTGTTTGGTCACTTATGCAAAGCCTAACAATTAAATCCTTTTGGTTTTTTTAAATTCTCAGGCTTCTTTTGATTAAGATTAAGTGTTTAATTCTTCTAGAACTTGTAATTACTAGCTCAAAATGCCAGAAATAAATAGATTAAAACATTTATTCCTCTGTTAAACAGTAAAATACAGGATCTTCATTCTGGACAATGCTATGAGGCCAGCAGATGATACAGTTACAGTTGCTGTGCTAGTAAGTATACAAAATACACTGGTAATGAGCACTTCTTCAGCACAGGAACTATGAGAAACTTCAACAAAAGATCCAAGACTAAAATTGTATCTGTGACTCCTCTCCAGAAATCAGTATTTACACATTGTGAGGTATGTCTAGTTATTTTGGGCCAATATCAGGAGCACAGAGGGAAATGTAACATGTAAATATTCAAGTAGGAAGGTAAGCAGAACATTTTGTCTTCCTTAGGAAAAGTATATTAACTTCAGCTTTTGGATGCAAATGTTTGATACCTTGTTCATAATTTTGTGTTTGCTTTGTCTCTCTCAACAGAATTCAAAAGGAATTGTGGTTAAAAAGTCTGACCAGAAAGTAAAAACAATGTTCAGTGAAAACTTTGACATACCTGACATCGCTGAGTAGGTTACTGCTCTGCCTTTTGCATTAAAACAGTTGTCATGTCAAAATGTCTCTTGCAGAAGAACAATCTTCAAGATAAAAAAAGGCGTCTTGTCCCTCCCTTCTTTTTGCTCTGCTCTCCTGTGTTTGTCTCCTCTCTTTTTTACTTATTGCCTATTGCCTGCTTAACTATTTCTTTAGAGCAGCAGGTGCACTACAGCAGACAGTTTGGCTGTGATCACACCTGGGAAGCACCACAGCAGGGAGTGGCAGCAAGGAACCCAGCATGGTTGCTCTGGGGCCAGCCCCGGAGCCTCCTGCCTTGCAGGGGTCTACACCTGAGCCAGTTACCCATGATCTCTTCTCTGACACTGGGGAGAAAGTCACAGAAACACAGAGTGTGAGGGGTTAGAAGTGAGCTCTGGAGATCATTCAGTTCAGTCCCCCTGCTAGAGAAGGTTCACCTAGAGCAGGTTGCACAGGATGACGTCCAGACAGGTTTTGAATGTCTGCAGGGACAGAGCCTCCACAGCCTCCCTGGGTTGTTCCAGTACAGTAAAGGAGTTTTTTCTTATGTTTAGGTTGAACGTCTTGTTGCAATATTTAGGTTGCAGTGTTAGGTCATAGGTTGAACTTGATGATCTCAGAGGTCTTTTCCAGCCTCAGTAATTCTGTGACACTGTGATTCTGTAATTCCTCTGACCTGTTTTAGATCCCTGTGTCAGGATGAGAAGTACCACACCTTAGTACTGCCTGTTTTTTTCATTGGCTGCAGATGAGCCCAAGGGAACTTATGACATTGAAATGTAATGACTAAAGTGTGGAGGATTGACACCACATCCTATTAGCAAGATCAAACATCCCATTTCATCCCCCTTAACCTGTTGAAGTACTTGAGATTTTTAACTGGTAGACTGCTTGAATTACTGTGCAAAATTGTCTTACTCTCACCATGGGGAAGAGATTGAGCCTATGGTTAATATCCTTGTACCTTTAAGCATCTCATCTTGGAGAAATGAGACCAGGATTTAATATTAATATGCTGCAATTAACAACATTTATTCTGATAAGGAACAATTTAACAAACTGCTTAAATATCTGCTCAACCATATTACTACATTCAGGAGAGCCTTTTGTAAGGGCTTGTTTGCAAAGTGTGATTAATTATCTCTGATTTCAAACAGTCAAGCTATTACTTAATATTCAGTGTGTCTTTGCTTGCTAGATTGTTTTTGACATCCCAGTGAAGTTAAGTTATAGGAAATACATGACGAGTTCTCTGTTGCTGAGGGCTTTTCAAAGGCCTCATCTTACATGTGGTTTGCAAATATTATATCTTGCAGTTTTTCATAAAGTCTTTTTGAATGTTTCCTAGGGCAATTGAAAATATGTTCCTGGCTTCTCCCAGCAAAGAGAAATCCATTAATAAATTAGTTTGAGATGAGATAAAATCAAGGAAAATAGTAGCATTTAGTGATAATATAATACATTAACATCATTAAATATCAGAGGAATCTTAATTAACTGTTTTCTGCTGAATTTGAATTTTAGGCCTGGAACTTGGAAAATAAAAGCCTGGTTTCATCAATATGAAATGTCTAATGTTTCTGCTGAATTTGAAGTTAAAAATTATGGTAAGAAAATATTTTATTTGCATTGTAAAACTATGAAGTCATCACTATGTGTTAAAAGATAAACTTCAGAGATTAAACCTGGCTGTAGTCAGGTTACTAAGGATGAGACTGTCAGTGTTTCAGTGCCTCATCGCTATCTCTGGTGCACAGAAGGAGAACTCTGGTTTTGTGTATCTTCCATGTATATTTAAAAAAAAAACCACCTTTATTTTAGACAGGCTAAAAAACTTAAGCATTTTTCACAAAGCATCCTTTTTGGAAAGGCTCCCCTACTACAGAAAATAAAATGGAAATTCATCACAATTCTGGCTAAAGTTTTCAGTAAAGACTAGAATGACAAAAAAAAAAATAAAATAAAAAAAATATCCTGCCTATTTTCTCTTAGTAGAATTCAGTTTGGAAGTTGATTAAAGTTGTTCCTACACTCAGATATGTTTATTTTAAAGAAAAGTAAGAGCACTGTGGAAAAAGTAAAAATGTAGAAAATGAAGAATTTGGCCTAAGAAATTATCGGATTCATTTTCAAATAAGTTGTGCTTTCTTGTAAAATACAGTGTAGGGTTGATTTTGTTTGCTGTTTGGGTTTTTTTCTTAAGGGCAAAAGAAAGCTTCAGGATCATATGACAATCTCAGTTTAACAAAACTGGCCCTGCCTTAGCTAGTGGCTGAAACAGAGTAGTGGAGACTATTGCATTATAGGAGCACATTGAAGATTGACAAAGCTGATGCTCAGGACCTCATGTCCACACTCAACCCATGTCAGGGTGGATTTACTTCAGTCTGTTTCTAGTCCATGGCACTTAATGCCCACTAGGTGTTAGAACATATCTTCTGGCTTATTTTCATTGTAAATAAAACATATGTTTAGCAGAGCAGAAGAATAGGAGATCAGGAGATTTGCTTCAGAAGTGCTCTACACATTTAAACCAAAACATCTTCTTGGTGCAGCTGCATCCTCTCAGTGGGTGTTGCCAAATGCCAGGATTTCAAGGTGTGTTTGAAATTCATGTGTCATGACCTTTTGTTGTCTTCTTTTTCCATGCAGAACTTCCATCTTTTGAAGTCAAACTCATCCCAGTTCAGCCATATTACCATATCTGGAATGAAAATTTTGTGTTTGATATAGAGGCAAGGTAGGTGTGTTCACAGTGAGGCTGTTTTAGGAGGCAGATAAGTAAATAATGAATTTTGCAGCTTATTCTTTTTCCTTGTCATTAACACTTAACCAGCTTCTGGCTTTATTTCAATCTGACTGTTCTGCATGTCCCCTCCCTGGAACTGTTCAAGGCCAAGTTGGATGGGGCTTTGAGCAACCTGATCTAGTGGGAGGTGTCCCTGCCAATGCAGGGGGGTTGGAACTAGGTGATTCTCAAGGTCCCTTCTAATCCAAACCATTCTATGATTCTATCAAGGTTAGTAGATTTTTAGGATATTGCTGAACATCCTGGATAGTTGATGTGGAAAGAATATATTTCCTGACATAAGGTACTCCATATTATCTAAATAACACTGAAAAAGTTGTTTGGTTTATTCCTCCCTATCGAGACAAAAGCTCAGAGTTATTTCAGGTCAATTTTTGTATGTCAGCAGAGAGCTGAAGGCCGTATCAGCAAGTAATGTCAGACCATCACTGAGAACAGCTCCTTAAAAAATACATCAGCACCTCATGGCTTTTGAGGTGGTTTCACTGTATTCCTTAAGATTCCTTTAACACAAAACCACAAATAGGATCACATAGAGTTATTGTAGCTAAAATTGTTAAATGTATTTAGTGTTAAACAGTAAGTAAACTTTCTGTACAATAATGATGCCCAAGATAGTGCAAAGTGACCTGTGTTTTATTTTAATTTTATTTTTATTTTATTAAATAATCAATATTTATTTTTAAGCCTGAAAACCTTACTATATCCATTCACTTTTAGTATTTTGACTAATAATGATTTTCAATTCTTTTTGACTATTATAAAAATATACACTTGTGACATTGTTGGGAGATGTTTTAACAGGGAATTTAGATTCTAATGACTAAGTAATTCTGCAGAATAACTTTTATACTTTCAAGGTAGATGATGGGGATGGCAGAGAGGAGACATTCAATAGAGAAGGGAGAAAAGGTCTAGGAATAGAAATTGCTAATACATTATTAATAAGAATAAAAAGAGTTTAAAAACCTGGTCTATACAACTGAACCTTGTGACTTTGTTAAGCACTGACAGTAACCAACCTTGTAACTAATTTGGCTTAGAGTAGCCTTCAGTGAAACAGGCATTAAATGTTAGCTTTGATCTGTGTGAGTGCACATGAGAGAAGTATCACCATTACAGTGACCATTTGTGTTTCATCTTTTGTTTGACTCTGGAAAATCCCCCAAACTGAGAGCAGCAAACAAATAATTATTATACTTTAATATTATTTATTTTTTTTTTGAGATATCAGTTTTTTCGATGCTTTCCTTATGTGAGGAATTGCTCTTATACATCTGGAGCTTTGTCTGCATTTGAATGTGATACCAGAAAAGGTATTTGAACCACTTGGGCAATAAATTAAACAATTCCAGGAAAGACTCCTGAGCCCGAGATCTTGGCTGTCAACAGCTTGACTGTCGAATTGCACAAGCTCTGCCTTGGCCGTACAAGACTCCACAAACAATTCCTGGAAGCTCCCTGGGAGGAAGCATGGACCAAGGTCCACCCCAGGTCTGCATGTGGCCACTCTGCTGTGGAAGATGGGGCTCAGCAGTGCAGGGTGGGCTGTGTCAGGCACCGCATCCTCCGAGGCACACCCTGCACATAGGGGTTTATTTAATTAACAGAGGGCAGTTGCTGCATTTCTGCATGGACCCCAGCATAGTATCCACATGGAAGACTGGTCATAGAATCGCAGAATGGTTAAGGCTGGAAGGGACATTAAAGATCACCAGGTTCCAATCTCCCTGCTACGAGCAGGGACACCTCACACTGGGCCAGGCTGCACAAGCCTCATCCAACCTGGCCTTGAACACCTCCAGGGAGGGGGCTTCCACAGCCTCCCTAGGCAACAAATTCCAGCACCTTGCTATCATCACGGTGAATAATTTCTTCCTGATGCCTAACCTAAATCTCCCCTCTTTCAGTTTAAAACCATTGCCCCTTGTCTTATCACTTCCTTCTCCCATACCCACTTCCAGAAAGTTTTATTTCTGGCCTAAATTCATCCCTGGGCAGCTTATACCCTGTTGGTCTTCTACCCACTGTCCTTGAGCTCTTCTCCTTGACTGTCCCAATTCTTCCTTTCCCTTGAGCACTCTGAGAGAGCAGAGAGAACCCTATATCCACCTCCTTTTTCTTGGCTGATCAAACTCTTCTAACCTCTTCTTGAACACCTTCACTTCTTTATTTGGTTCTGTTGAATAATTATTAGCTTTAATAATGAGTACTTGATATTGTGATGTGAAGTGATATCAAATAACTGGCTTTAATATACTAATCCTACCTAAAATACTCAATATTCTCGCAGCACTCAATTTTTAGTTTATGGACTGTGCAACTCCTTCATATATACTTCACTACTCATTGACATAATTATTTTAAAGAAAAAAAATTATGTTGATTAACTGGATACTGTTGTCTACTGGAAAAGGTCCTAGTGATGCTACACAGGCCTGCCTGCCTTTTACGAAAATCAACATATGGCATTCATGATAATTGAACTTATTTCTCTGAACTGGCCATGCATGTAATGAACAGTTAGTTGGTATATTGGCCATTGTTTCCTGTAGTTATTAGATCTAGCATTTTAAGCAGTTTTCATAAGAACTACATTTAATTAGTTTCACAGGTATAGATCAGTGCTGCTCAGCAGGTCAGTTTGGAAGAGGCTTTGTTTAAACAAAACAAAACTAAAGCAGAACTGAGATGAAGCAAGATTTCCACAAGCAAAGGCCGACACCATGGCTGTGGCAGGTTTCATGCAGCACTTTATATGTTGTGCTGCCAGAGGGTGCCATCTGCCAGGGTTTCCTTGGGCAAGGAGTCTGCCAGGTACAAGAACATGTCCTATCCTCTCTCTCCATGGCTTACATGGAGAGTGCAGGGATGTTCTGGCGAGATGCTTATCTGGCAGGTATTTCACTTGCGAGAGGTCCCTATGATATACTGTCTAAATCCACAGGAGAGATGTGGGGCAGAGGGTGTCTGCTCTGCCTAATGCACATATTAACATTTCAGCAGGTGGGATCTGCCTCTTGAAAGTCTTCAGAGATACCAAATGATTCAAATTGGTCCCTGAGACAATTCTCTGCCCCCCCGCCCCCTGTTTTAAATGCTCTGCTCATACAAAGTGTCTCATACAAAGGAATTAGCTGTTCATCCAAGCAAAATAGACTGGATACCTCCCTTTCTCCCTGTGAAGGAGATGATGTCTCCATGAGTGATTTTGCCAATGTGATTTGCTCCATATATTGGGCTGCACTTGAAATCCCCACTTTGTACAAAGATCTTCATGCTGACTGACAGCTGACTTAGCATGAGCCAGCAGTGTGCCCAGGTGGCCAAGAAAGCCAACAGCATCCTGACCTGCATCAGAACAGTGTGGCCAGAAGGAGTAGAGAGGTGATTGTGTCCCTGTACTCAGCACTGGTGAGGCCTCACCTCGAGTGCTGTGAGCAGTTCTGGGCCCCTCACTACAAGAAGGATGTCAAGTTGCTGGAGCATGTCCAGAGGAGAACTATGAAGCTGGTGAAAGGTCTGGAGAACAAGTCCTATAAGGGGAAGCTGAGGGAACTGGGATTGTTTAGTTTGAAGACAAGAAGACTGAGGGGGGACCTCACTGATCTCTACAACTACCTGAAAGGAGGTTGTAGGGAGGTGGGAGTTGGCCTCTTCTCTCAAGTGAATAATGACAGGACAAGAAGAAATGGACAGACACTGTGCCAGGGGAGGTTTAGACTGGGTATTAGAAAGAATTTCTTTACCAAAAGAGTGGCTGGACAGTGGAACAGGCTGCCCAGGGGGATGGTGGAGTCACCATCCCTGGAAGTGTTTCAAAGAAATATAGATATAGTGCTTAGTGACATGATTTAAGCACTGAATGGGTAAATTAGGTTATGGTTGGTGGATTTAGGTTATGGTTGGACTTGATGATCTTCAGGGTCTCTTCCAACCAGGATGATTTTGTGTTTATCATATCAGTGAGTGCAACTATTTTTCTGTTTTCAAGCTACTAGTTACAGATGGAATTCCTAAGGATATTCCAATTTTATTTCAGCATAAAATGGTTAGTCTGATTTATGCTTGCATTTTATTAATATTTTAATTAATTATTCATCACGTCCTTTTTCTTCCTTCCAAAGACACTCTTATGGGGAAGGGATTCAAGGGGCTGCATATGTGCGATTTGGCATAATTGATGAAAATGAGAAAAAAGTCTTTCTTCCAGGCCTGGAACAACAGCTGTCAGTAAGTACTGGAGTTCTGTGGAGGTCTGAGTTCTGATTTAACCCATGTGAGCTGAATATTGTCAAAAATCATCAAAATATAAATCCCTGTAAAACCATAGCAACAATCTATAAATTCTAATGGCAACAAACCAATACAAAGTTGTCACTTCTTTTTCTTTTTTAAAATTTTGTTTTAGATTCAAAATGGAAAAGGAAGAGTTACTTTAAACACAGCATTTCTGGAAGAGAAATTAAAAAAGAGTATTTCCACTCTTGAAGGGTTTCATTTATATGTTGCTGTTACCACTGTAGAAACTGCAAGTGAGTACACTATGTCTTGACTGATAGATTAAGATAAATATTCCAAACAATTTTTCTAGTGTGATCCTTGATGTAGGAAATTTTGTTTCACTGGACCAATCTTCACTGTAAAGCTTGCTCGTGTTATAGTGCATGACAGTCTCTTTCATTTGTCACTCTCCTGTGCACAAACTTATATTAGGTGAGATTAACTTCTCTGAACACAGATGCCAGTACCACTTTAAATGTGTTATGTAGCTGTATGTTGCATGTGGTCTTTTACTGCTACTCCAGAAGTGGTCAGGTCTCCTGTAAACACTCTCCTATAGGGTCTGTCCCATATTAAGCAGCTCTGTGAGAATATATAAGATATCTTTGTCCATCTGAAGTGGGAACAGACATCTGTATGAATTATAAATTGCTCCATTGAGATCTTGTTTGAGAATTTGACTCAGGTATGTCTACATACATACAAAGTTATTCGTTGACCTTGGTATCTTAGTTTGCTTTGTACCTCAGGTAACTAAGCTGTTAGTCAAGGGCTGTGAAGATGATCAGGAGACTGGAACATCTCTGTTATGAGGAAAGGCTGAGACACCTGGGTCTGTTTAGCCTGGAGAAGAGAAGACTGAGAGGGGATCTTATGAATGCTTATAATTATCTGTAGGGTGAATGTCAGGAGGATGGGGCCAGGCTCTTTACGTTGGTGCCCAGAGGTAGGACTAGGGGCTATGGGCACAGAAAGGAACACAAAAAGTTCCATCTGAACATGAGGAGAAACTTCTTTACTGTGAGGGTGACAGAGCACTGGAACAGGCGGCTCAGAGAGGCTGTAGAGTCTCCTTCTCTGGAGATACTAAAAACATACCTGGACATGATCCTCTGCCACCTGCTCTAGATGAATCTGCTTTAGCAGGGGAGTTGGAATAGATCATCTTGAGGTCCCTTCCAACCCCTACCATTCTATTATTCTAAAAGAAAGGTATACGTATTACAGCTACAGTGTGATGCAGAGGAGAATCTAGCCCTTGTGAGCCCTGCTTGTCCTCTTACACCTTCCTACAGTTTTATCACAATGTGATTCTTGGCATATGCACAAGTACAGTATAATCCAAATACCCTGGTCTTCCTATTCAACTGGGATATAAGACTGGAGCATGCCTATCCAGAAGTTTTTTAGGGGCTGTTTGCCTTTGTTTTCCTAGTGGAGAGATAAATATTTCCAGAGTTCATTACAAGGAGTTTGTGTAGATATTTACTCACAGTAGTGCACTTTGAGTAGACCCCCAGATTTCTTAGAGCAACCCATAAGTGAGCACTGCATTGAATCAGAGGCTGTGGTTGATGGGTTATTTGTGCTATTGCTAGTCTTATGAGGCTAAGGTGAGAGGTGAAACTTCAGTCCTGGCTTCTGAAGTTGGATCTGTGACAAAGCTGACCTTTCTGATGCAGGCAGGGTTTTTCTTGTTATTACTTACAGGGAGATTGATCCCTTTGATTTCAGTTGCCTGAAAGTAAGGCATCCAGTCAGAACTGCATGCTCAGGCACTTTGTATCATCAATACAGAGAACTGAAGAGATAAACCACACTCTAGAGTTGTCTGTTCCCACTGGCTATAGAAGGAGTCTAGTTACTTAGCTTAGAATTACTAGAATCCTAAAAATTCCTAGAAATCCCAAATCTTAAGTAGGATTCCTTAGAATCCTAAAATTAAGATAAATGCATTGCAGCTGTGCAGTTCTTTAATGTTATCTACTATAGGTACTTTCATGCCCTGTTGCCCCAACATTTATTGCAAGAGCAAAAAGGTTTGAGAGATCTCTCACTACCACACCAGCAGGCTGGACATAAGATCTTGTAGTGTGGAGCATTCTTGACCACTCTGTGAGTCCTTCTTCTTTCTCTCATGGGCAGACTGCCTCCACACTTGTGGGCTGGCTGAGTTTGGTATTAATTATGTTCATAACAGAGCAAAGCTTGTGGGCTTTACTGACACATCTTGACTCTGGAGTTTAAAAATGGGAAATGAGGATGTTGAAAGTATGTCTACATGCACTTAGTTGAAAGTGAGCCATGTCACTGGTTTTGGATTTTTTTAAAGTAGTTAGGGATAGCGGTTTAACTAGAAGTTAACTAGAAGAATGAATAGTTTAACTAGAAGAAACTTAGATGGGAAGCAGAAGCTCAAGCTCTCTTATAGGTGCAAAGTTGCAGATTATATTAAGTAATATTAATTCTTACCAGTAGTCACTAATAAAAAAAATCTCTTTCAGAAAATTAGAGATATACATTCCAAATCCCCCTTATTCTGAGTGACTTTTATGCTGGATTTTGATGTAGCTTCCCCCCAGGAACGAAGCCCCAACAGCTCAGAAAGGGAGGTGCATGGCTGCAGCAGCTCCCATGGTACCACTGTGCTCTGTTTGCTGGCAGCTTGTTCCAATGGATGTGTTAGAGGGGAATTTTTATGTGTGAGCAAGAAACTTCTTTGCAAGTCTCCACATCTGAGCTGTCAAGAACACACACCTGCCAGTGCCAGCTCGCTAGAGCACCACACTGATCCCACTGCACTTGCACTGACCCTTCTCTGGTTGTGCTCCCCACCCCTCTCTTCCTTTTCTCAGCATTGAAGGTCTTTGGGGAGGTATCATATTTCAGTTTTCTTTATATAACCTGCTAAAATCACAATTAATCTAGAAAACAGAAACTATGGATGCTGTGGTACGCAAGCATGTAACTGCTGCTCCCGTAGAAATACGAACTGTTTGATATTGACAGGTGGTGAGATAAGGGAAGAGGAACTCAGCAATGTCAAGTTTGTGAAATCTCCTTATGCTGTTGATCTGTCTAACACCAAAAAGTATTTTGTGCCTGGAGCCCCCTTCACTGTTGTGGTATGTAGTGTTTAGATGTCTTTGTCTGTTTTCCTCCATAGCAAAGGATTTCTATCTGCCCTGTCTATAAAATTCTTCTCTGATCCAGTGGGAGCCCTGTAGGACAGAGAGCTTCAGGAACAAGCCCAGCACGGAACTAGTGGTTGTGTGTCTTGATTATCTCATTTCTGTACACACAGAGCCTGAGCAGGGAAACTGAAGCCAGAAAATACTGGTTTTCTGCTCTGTTGCTCTACAAGGTTTTATAAAACATGTAGCAGTGTTTTTTCTAAAAAGAGTTTAAGTTAGAAATTTACCTTGTAATACTTAAAGACTTAGGATGATTTCTGGGATCATCTGAGATCTAGTAGATGCTAAGTGAAAACCTGGGGTACACATTCACAGATTCACAGATTTTTACCTTAACTGGAGTCCAGACTGGGTCCATTGCTACCTCTTTCTCTCCAAGCTTAAGCTTTCGAACATTAATGTGTACAGTTTTGTATTTCTTCTCAGTTTATTATAATAAGTTCTTGTTGTTTGTGGACATTTTTTAAACCCAGACATTTCCTTGAAGTAACAGAAAAAGATATTTTATTTTTTTCCAATAGGCATCTGTATCTTTGCCTGATGGCTCTCCTGGTGCTTTTATACCTGTCACTGCTACTGTTACTTTGCCTGAAAAAAACCCAATGAAGAAGACTGTACTTTCTAATAAGAAGGGTCTAATCTCCTTCACATTTGACATCCCTGGAGATGCTCAGATGCTTCAAATAACGGTAATGAAATCTCAGACATCCATGTTTAAAATATACCACTGAGAAGAGCTCATAAGACAAATACAAATGACAGTGAAGATGATCAGTTTTCATTAAATTAGCAAAGAGAGTGGAACTTGACTTCTTACACCATCTGCACAGCTTCACCCAAGTTGTGTAAAAGGTGTTAGAGAGACCTGTGAATGAAGAATGTCTCACTGAAGTGAAGGACACTCTTGTACATCACAGCTTTGGGAGTACATGCATCAGTGGTAGTGCTGTTTTTTCCTGTGGTTTGGTTGTGCATCTTCCTAGCAATAAGGATGAGAATGGGACTGTAAAGAATATCACCATGAAAAGTTACAAAAAACTATGAAAAGACAGTGAAGGAAAAGGTCCCATGCAATGCAGACAGAAGGCTACATCTGTACAGTCAGAAGGTTGCATTATGTGCACAATACAAAAATGGAAAAAAGCTGTGATTTTGAGTCATTGATTCTGATTCAGAAATATCCAAGCCTGAAAAATATCAAGTGCAAATATAGCAAGAGACAAAAGAGGGTGAGAAAATAAATAAAATAGTATTTTTTTATGCCAAGTTCTGCAGATGAGGTGTCAGCAGTGACTCATCTCATTTCCCAGCATTTTCTGAATAAACTGGCAAGATACGAATTAAGGGTGATACTCTATAATATAGTTTCCTGAGGGATGCTTTACTTGCTGTGTCCTTTTCCTCCTTAACAGGTAAAGGCTAAAGAGGGAAAAGAAAAATTAGAATCACCTGAAGCCAGTATCAGAGCTGAAAGATACCAGTCATCTTCCCCAGATTTCCTCAGCATCAGCATCCCACATACTGTCAAGGCACCTGGAGATACCTTAAGCATCACTTTGAATGATATTCATGAGTCTGGCAGCGGAAAGATTGATTATTTCTATTATATGGTAAGCAAAATAGGAGCATATCAGTAACTGATTTAAGAAATTATATGACACAGAACATCTATCTAGTTACTAATATATAGGAAACCAGAGAGGTTCCAGCAAAAGGCAACTGAGATGATGAGTGTCTTCACACACCTGAGCTACCAAGAGAGGCTGAGGGAACTGGGCTTGTTCAGTTTGGTGAAGAGGCTAAGAATGGGTCAACAGCAACTTAAAGTTAATTGAATAGGAGTTACAGAAATAATGCAGACAAACTATCCTAGGTGGTGCCATGTAGTATAACAAGGGACAAAGGCTACAAATTATGGTCTGGAACGTTCATTTTGGAAAAATCTTTTCACTAGTGATGAGTGCAACAATGAAGAGGCTTTCCAGAGAGTTCAGGGAATTCTGATCCTCAGAAGCATTCCACACTCAACTAGAGAAAACCACACCTGACTTAACTTAATCTGATGGTGGTGATGGCTCATCGTTGAGTAGATAGTTTGACTAGAGATCTCCGTAAGTCCCTTCCAGAAACTACTTCTGTGATTATGTTATTTTTATATATTTGCTTACAATTTTGGTATGTAATATTGTCACAAGCCAATGCCATCACAGAAGCTACTGGCTGTCAGGAGTGGGATTCGAGCCCACACATGCATACAGAGACCAGAACTTGAGAGCAAATCTGTCCATACAGGGTAATGTTTGCATAATTATGTGGATATTTTTGAAAAAGAGTAAACTGACAGCCTTAAAATCTGAAATCCTAGACAGATGAGCTCTACTATGTCTATGACAATTTGATTTCTCTTAATCTAGATCTCATTCTTTCCCACTCCTTCCAATCAGCATTCTTTCCTCATAATAAGCCAATATTTAATATTATTTTTATTGTTCTGATTTCCTTAAATACCTTTTTCTCAGCTATTACAGAACTACCTGCTTTGTTGTGGGCAGAGCACACATATATATAAGGCTGTGTTGCAGCAATTAGAAAACGTAATTGTATTCTAGGGGACCTTTAATATCTCAGAAAATGCTGTTTGTAGTTAACTATTGTTTATTTCATAAATAACTTGTGTTTCTTCCATTAGTATGGCTACATGTTGCCTGCACCTGCTGTTAGTCAACACGCAGGAGGGCAGGGCTGCCATCCAGAGGGATTTTGATAGGTTTGAGAAGTGGGCTCGTGCAAACTGCATGAAGTTGAACAAGGCCAAGTGCAAAGTTCTGCACCTGGGTTGAGGCCATCCCATGCACAAATACAGGTTGGGAGGAGTAAGGACAGCTCAGAGAAGGACTTGGGGGTAGTGGTGGACCAGAAGTTTAACATGAGCCATCAATGTGCATTTGCAGCCCAAAAAGCCAACTGTATCCTGGGCTGCATCAAAAGAAACATGTCCAGCCAGTTGAGAGAGGTGATTCTCCCACTCTACTCTGCTCTGGTGAGACCCCACCAGGAGTACTATGTTCAGTTCTGGAGTCCCAAACATAAGAAGGACACAGAACTCCTCAAACATATCCAGAGGAGAGCCATGAAGATGATCAGAGGGCTGGAGCACCTGCCCTATGAAGACAGGCTGAGGAAGTTGGGGTTGTTCAGCCTTGAGAAGAGGAGGCTCCATGGTGACCTTATAGCAACCTTACAATATCTGAAGGGGCCCAACAAGAAAGCTGAGGTAGGGCTTTTTACACAGGTGTGTAGTGAGAGGACAAGGGACAATGGTTTGAAGCTTAAAGAGGGGAGATTCAAGTTGGACATTAGGAAAAAGTTCTTGCCTGTGAGGGTGGTGAGATGCTGGAGCAGGTTGCTGAGGGAGGTTGTGGATGGCCCCTCCCTAGAGGTCTTCAAGCCCAGGTTGGATGGGACCTTGGCCCACCTGATCTAGCAGAAGGTGTCCCTGCTCATGCAGGGGGGGTTGGAACTAGATAATCTTCAAGGTCTCTTCCAACCCAAACTATTCTATGATTCTATGATTAGTTAACAGGTAGGTCACTGTTATCATCTCACAAATAATGTCATGAAGTATGATTGAAGGTATTGGCTGTTATGGCCTCAAATAGCATCCTGAAATTAGATCTGAAAAGAAGTTTTGTAAAGAGAAAAGCCAGGAAACAATTCTGCTCAGCCTGGCACCAGGAATGCAAAGTATTTATTTTTCTGAAGGAGACAAATGTGCTCATGAAAGCATTCCAGGAGTGAATCTGTTGAATATCAAATGTGTTTCAATCTCCTCCTTTCCTTTGTCCTAATTTCCCTTGGCAAGTTAAATTTCCTGGGACAATAGGCACCACATGCACCAGTTCCTATGTATTTTTAACAGGATTCTGATATATTGGAATAACTGTATCCCTAGAAGTTAAATTTCAGGTTTAGGGTTTCTTTTAATTGGATGATGTAGCATAGGGTTGGAATTGCCTCTGCCAAGGTCTGGGAAAGCTCCATGTTGGGCACACAGGGTGGGTATACTGAGGCTCTCTCCCAACCTTAGATCATTTAAATGAAGTCAGCAAGGATTTTGGATCAGGGTTTGTTTCAGATCATGGTTTTGTTTCTTCCTAAAGCCCATGCACTATGTGTTTAGGAAAGGTGCATGTATTTTGTTCAGGGAAGAGCAGCACTATCAGTCCTGCTCCTGTGTCTGTTTTCCAATCCTGACAATCCATAAACATAATCAGCATAACATGGGAGAAAAGGAATTAAATAATGCAAGATGGGCTGAAATCAGTTAAAGGCCAGTGTGTGGTGCTTTATCCTGAATAATACTTTTTGGGTGAAACCTCCTGCTTCCAAACCCTCCAGGCCATCTGAAAGATTCAATACTGGCAATCAATTAAATAAAACTGATAGGGGATGATGTGTTCTTGTAGGAGACAAAAATAAAACATCTTTCTAGGACTTCCTTTTTCAAGCTGTAGGACTGGGTGGAGGGAGGTACTTTTGAGTTTGAACCTGGGCCACAGGATGAGTACCTCAGAGGCTTACCACCATTCTTCTGTGCTAGAGACACTGTGTGTTCCAGGCTATTGGTATGCAGGTTGGGAATTAAAACTATTAGGTGCCATTAGAAGAGAATAAAATTTAAATATAAATGGCCTCAGAAAATTCTGTATATGTATATAAAATTATGCAACATAATGCCCAGTATAATGTTTATACAAAATACTTGTTTTCTGTTTGCTTCTTCCTTGCAGGTTGTGGCAAAGGGACAAACTGAGGTTTTGGGAAGGGTCCTCTCCTCAAATAAAGTAATAAACCTTAAAATCACTGAGAAGATGGTGCCTGCCTTTCGCTTTTTAGCTTACTACTTCATTGGGAGGAAGGGCCATGAAGAGATTGTTGCTGATTCTGTATGGGTGGATGTTATGGATGTCTGTGAAGGAAAGGTACTTTCCAAGCAAGTGGCTTTCTTTATTCTATTCTGAAATAAAAACAAAACCATGACATATCAGCAGAGCATGTGCGGGCCTGGGATTAAAAAGGGAAAGATATGATGGAAATTTTCATTTTTATTGGACATTAGGATTCTTGCTAAAAGGTACAACTGGGAAAGGCTCCCAGCAGTGATGGCAGAGATGACCTTCTCCCATAGCATGAAAAAAAATAGGAGTTTCTCTAAGCCTTTATTTCACCTTCCTCTTCCTCTTTTTAGATACCATAGAGTAAAAAGAAAAGATAATTTTTCCCAATGTCATGAAATGCTACTGATGAGAAGTGTCACAGGAACATCCCCCAGCCTTTGACTGCTCACATTCACAGCTGACAGTATTCCCTGCCCAAAGAGTCTTCCCTCTTTGTTAACAAATGTGGTATTTTTGTTTCAATTTTTTCTATTTAGATTAAAGTGAGAACAGAACAAGAGAAATATGAACCAACAGACACCGTCAAGTTACAGATTGAAATGGACCATGCAGGAACAGTGGCCTTAGCTGTGGTTGATAAAGCAGTTTTTATACTGAACAAGAAAAATAAGCTCACAGCCAAAAAAGTAAGATATCTGTGAGGAGAAAATATGATACCTACTACACATGACTAATGAGAGCATCAACATTTAATGAATGGCTATTAATTGCTTAATCAGAGCTTTGCTAAACTTGAAAATATTCTTGCTTTTGCAATTAAGATCTATTTATAGTGGATGTTATACTTAAGATGGGTTCTTTCATGCTACAGCAAAAAAGCTTGTAAATTTAAAAAACAGTACTTGGAGACATTCCCCAGCTAAAACATTCCTCAGCTCTAATCTCATTCTCAAAATGCAGCTTGTTCCATGAGTTTGTCTTGTTTCTGTGAATCAAAGGCTATATTGTTGGTTTTTTTAAATATACATTAAAACAAAACAAAACAAAATCCAAACAAACAAAAACCAAACACCAAAACCACAACCTTTTCCACGTGTGTACAGTCTATGCTATTTTATTTGGCAGGTATTTAATGCTATGAATTCGTATGATCTTGGATGTTCTCCAGGTGGTGGCGCAAATAGTGTTCAAGTTTTTACTGATGTTGGCCTGGCCTTTATATCAAATACAATTAAATCCAATCTCCGGGAAGGTAAGTGCAATCTGCTCTTTTTTTAGATGCCTATTCAAGACCATTACAGATCTGGCTTATTGCTTAAGAATCAGAAACATGTTACTGTGATGTTCTAAGACCTCCGTTGCCTGTGAATTTTAATTTTTCTCTGCTTCCACTGGGTGCTGGCAGCTCATTTAGCACAGATCTTTGCTACAGGGCTTTTCATACCCAGCTCAGCTGGGACAGGCAGCAGTTGGCTGGGGCTGTTTGGTAACTCAGAAATCTGTGGATCTGCTGTGAAAGAGATGGATCTTAAGATGGGTCTTCCATGAATGACCCAAATGATCAGGCTTGGTACTGTCATAGAATCATGACCAAGCTCTTCTGTTCTGCTTTCCCAGGTTATAAATGCCACCAGGATGCCAGAAGGCAGAAGAGATCTTTGGATTTTCAGAGGAAAATGTCAGAAATTGGTATGTCTGCTCATCTGCGTGGCCTGAGAGGCTTAGCAAGGGGAGGGTTAGGGTTAGGGTTAGGGTTGGATGGGATCTAGGGGGTAAGAAGTGATGGGATAGTAAGGGATACCAAGAGATTCATAGTCTCAGTTCTAGTGTTAAATGATATAACATAGCACAAGTATTCTATGCCATGTGACCTGATTTGTCATCTATCAAAACAACCCAAACAATAAAACCAGAGTGGCCCAGCTGCAAATGGAAATAAATACACCAGTTTATATGCTTCCCAAATGGGAAGTACTTCTACTATGTATCTTGTCATGGAAGCAGATATGGCTTTACAATTTTTCAAAATTATTTGTATCATCAGAAAATGTTTTATAAGTCCTGGATTTTTTTCTCAACATTCTACTTTGAAGTTGTGCCAGCTTTGTCACTTTGTGCTCTATTTAAGAGAAGAGCTAGTAGAATACTAGTGTGCCAAGGAGATATTTTTAATTCATCCCTGAATTTGAAGAGAAAGACTAGAATAGAATATTTAGGATGCTCTAAATCTCATACTTTCCTCCTGTGTTTGTGGACTTGTTTAGGACAGGTCTCCTGCCGAAGGGAGGCTGTTGCAGTAATAATTGACATTAATTACAAGGAATTATAGGACAATTAACACCTTACCACTTATTGCTACTTCCACAGCACTAATTCTTGGCTTTAATTATATTGCAGCCAGGAAGTACCTAAATACTGAAGTGAGGAAATGCTGCGAAGATGGAATGAAATTAAATCCCATGAGGTTTACCTGTGCAAAAAGGCTGAGCAAGGTGGCCGGCTCCCCTGAGTGCCTGCAGGCATTCCAGGACTGCTGTGAGAAGGCCACCGAGCTCAGGAAGCAGGCGAAGCGAAGGATCAGAGTGGGCTTGGCACGATGTGAGGAATGGTGACATGCAGCTGCCTACAGAAAAATACCCTTTGTATGGTGACAAAGGATGGTGGAGGGGCATTTTATGCTGTGGGGCCAGGGGAACGTGCTCACGTCAACTTTTCAGTGAGCCCTGCTATAGTGCAGCATCCACCACTATTGCATCTTACAGTTGTACACTGTGAAGGTGGGAATGGGATGGGATAACTTATTGGGAAAAGAAATTAATCACTTTAGCCACCTTTGGACCCAGGATACCTTACAGAGGAGCTGCCTGCACCCTGGAAGGCTGCAAAGAGTGGAGCAGAATAAGGGTTGCTTCCATTCCAGGCTCTGAGTCACCTCACATTAATGATTGTTTTATTAATTCAGCTATTATAACACCCATGTACCTCCTAAACACTACCTGATGAGAAGAGGCCACTTAAGCCAGGAATATTTTCTTCTGTTTCTTCCTTTCTTCTCCCCAGAGTCTCTTTCTGATCACATAAGAGCTGATGTCACACACACTAAGTATCTTGTGTGCAAAAATTACCATATTAAAAGTGTAATTTCTGCTACCTTTTTCCTCAGAACCTCCCTTTCATTCTCTGTCTGTCACAAATACAAGATGGTGGGAATATTTTTACTACGCATTACTAAAAGTGAATATTTTTCTTGTTTGGCAGTGTCCATTTATTGAACTGGAATGAATTATCCTTTTGTTCAGTGACAATCTTTAGTCATTGCTACCCTTTTTTCATTATTTCTTTTGATGCACAAGATGAAACAGATGAAGTCTTTTCATTGGGTATTTTTCTTGCTGCTTTCTCTCTGACAAATTGACTCCCTGTAAGACAGTGTAAGGTCAGTGGCCAAAGACAGAAGCTCCACTCTTGTTTTACAGACTACGATGACCAGGAAGAATTGTTTGATGAAACCTCTGTCAATTTGCGCAGTTATTTTCCTGAGAGCTGGTGGTGGAATTTAGAAGAAGTAAAAAACCCTGGAAACCATAGGTACTGTATTACCTGACTAAGTGAATATCTCTAAATTTGTACAGTGAAATAGGTATCAATAACTGCTTTATGTGTTATCTGATGCAGAGGATTTTAGACTATTTGAAAGTACTTTGTCTCAACAACTGAGAAAATATTTTTTCCTTTCAATGCTTAAAATTCAGCAAATGTCTATGTATACATTTTATACATTCTTTCTAATACATTTTATTTTGTGTTTCTTAGTGTAGAAAACTTTGCTCCTGACTCTATAACTACCTGGGAAGTTCAGGCAATAAGCATATCTCCCCAAAAAGGTATCAGCTTTGGATATTGAGGTTTTTTGTATGGAGCGACAAGGAATGTGTGTTTTGAGGTTCAATGTTATGTTGACAGAATCAGACAGTCTGTACTGAAAAACACAAAGTGTTTTGATAATGACATTTACTCTTCTCTTTTATGCCATACTAAAGCCCAGCTAGAATTTAAGGGCTAGGTGTATGTTTATAAAAACAACATGAGACATGAGCTGGGCTCTGAAGGATGGTGGATTAAACAATCAAAACTGTCTCCTAATCTTTCAAACTGATAAACCATCTCATTTTATCTTCCACATGGCCAGCAAAACCAAAAGAAAGGTAGCAGTGATAATACCACTTTATTCTGAATATTTCTGGGAGCAAGTTCTGGCCATCTCAGAGAAGCATGAAAGTCTTTGGTCTCTGGAGAGCCAGAGATCACCAGGAGACTAGAAGAGGATCAGCAAAGGCTGAACACCAGAAAGCCCAAGTAGTGCTTTCTGGAAGCTCCTGGGGGTTGACTAGAACAGGAAAGAGGGACCAAGGGTCCATCTGTTACTGCCCACTCCCCCTCAGAAAGGGAGGATGATCCAGGGGTTCTATAATGAGCATGGAGTTTGTTTACAGAATGTGATAAAAGGTCATTGTGCTTTACACATGGCCTGGGCAGGAAAAAAGAGCCACATTTCACTCACAAAAGCTGCAGATACTCCTGCCAAATTTCACCTGCAGAAAACCATGACAGTGAAGCTGAGGGGCAAATCATCCACCTCTGAGATAGGTCTCTAGCACTGGTACCTTGAAATGCTCTCTGGAGATGCCTGTCTCTGTCTCCTGCCCTTAACCCCTCGGGGAGCCCAGGCAATGAGTTTTGATTAGATGTCTAACTTCTTACCTGCTGATGTTTTGTGATTCTTAACTCTGGTTATTTTTCTCCTCACAGGATTTTGCATAGCTGACCCCCACACTTTTGCTGTCTTCAAAGACTTTTTTGTATCCCTGAGGTTACCATATTCAGTCAAACGAAACGAACAGCTAGAAATAAAAGCAGTGGTTTACAACTATCTGCCTGAGGATCTCCAGGTAGTATTACCACCAATTGCTGTGTTATCCATATCTACCTAGCTAGCTATACAGAAATGTAATAATTTAATGTACATGACGCAGCCACATTTCAGTGCCCTCCTACAGCCCAGACAACATGTCCCCATTTTAGAAGTTTCCCCAATGAGAGTCCTCAAAATTACCATATAGACCAGATTTCAATCACCATATTACACAGCCATATTCCTTGGTTTTGGATACATCTTCTCCCCCTTCATTGAAATGGCTGATTTTTCACCACTTGCTGATCTGGGCAACCTCCAGCCACTGATAAAGCAAGTACACGAGATACAGAGCTAAATTATGAGCACACAAGCTGATTTGTCATTGAGAAATTTTGTTGTACATGCCATCCACACCCACTTTTTGTCTGCATGTACCACCTATCCAGGTCTGCATATGGCCACAGTTGTCACTGGTCTTAAGGCCTCCAGGATTCTCAGGCTGATACTATTTCATCTCTTCCCATCTCTCAGCCAGCTCTGCTTCACCAGCATCTTCTGAACTTGTCTTGAAAGATGTAGAGTCAGATTGTATAAAAACGTCCTATCCTCCTTACTTTCCTGTGGTTCAAAGGATAGGTTAAAACTGTATTGCAAGTTCAGTGTAATGAAGAAATACTCTCTAATTTATCTTCACAGCCCTAGTCAATGTAGATGAATGTTCACAGACCATAGGGTAACAGAATAATTTTGGTTCAAAAGGTACCTCCAGAGGTCTGTAGTCCAACCTGGTGCTCAGAGCAGATCCAGATAGAGCAAGCTGTTCAGGGTCTTGCTCAGTCAAATATAGAACATCTTCAAGGAGGAAGACTTTACCACCTCTTTGCACAAGCTGTACTTGATCTATTCTCAGTGAAAAAGTTTTCCCATTTTATAGATTGAGAACAGGAAATTCAGGGGGGAAGCTAAAGTGGAACACTTTCCATCTTGCAAAATACCCACATTGCTATTTCTTTTTTAAGCAAAGCTAAAGTTTTCTGTGATGCTTCTTTGTCATTTCCCATTCTTACCTAGACATTGTGGAGTTGGTGTATTTCTCCTGTGCAGGAGTGCTTGGAGCCTGATTGAAGGCATTGCCTTGTCCCCACAGGTTACAGTGAGCATGGAGGCAGTGGAGGGGCTGTGCGCTGCAGAAGAAAGGGAGAAGGCTGTGCAGTTGACACTGGTGGCTAAGGGGAACTCTGCAACACCAGCCTACTTCTCAGTTGTCCCTCTGACTGTGGGAGAAATTCCAATTACAATCACTGCGTTTGCCACAGCTCCTGGGTACAGTGACAGCATTAGGAAGAACCTCATTGTTGTGGTAGGTATAACTAGAGGGCAGGCACTTCATGAATGCATGCTTCTCCTCAAATATGATATTCACCATGTGTGGACAGCTCATGGAGGGAGTGAAATCCTAGAAACATAAGGCTGGAAGAAACTTCAGGAAACCTGCTTCTCAGAAAGGACTGAGCTATAGCATGAGCTATAGCATATATCACCCTGTGATAAGTTTGTGAGTAGTGTATGTGGAAAGAATTGTTCTGTAAGGCAAAATGCCATCCTTCTACCCACAGCACAGCAACAACTTCCTTCATACATTCAGTGTTCATCTCTTAACCTTTAATTTCCAACTGCTTCATCAGAATTTATAAAGTCTTATTCAATTTTAAGGCAAAGTTTGATGTTAATCTAGCAATATTTTGAGGAGGAAATAGCCTCTGCTAGACATGAAGTTTAGCCCTATGTTATTCCTTCTAGTTAATGGATCTTCAAGCTTAACAATAGCATAGGTAAAATATGTATAGGCAAACAAAGATGTTATATTGATTATTTAATGCCTTGGTTCTTTTTCAAGTATAATGAAAAGGAGGAGCCTTTTAATAAAGATGATTTTTGGGAGTCAACACTGACTGCCACAGATCCATTACAGTACCTAGGTAGCCTACTGAGGACAATATTCAACCCACATAAAAAGCACAAAATAAGAAAATTTACATCATTACTGTCAAAGTATAGCCATGTAGGTAAGGACAAAGCATGGGATGTCAGCAACCTGCTGTTGTCACAGGCCATAACTTTTCTAGAGATAGGCACAGACCTCAGTGCTACACCAAAACACTAAGAGTGCCAGTGAAAAGAGTTCTTTTTAAATATATACTGTTGGAAGAGGAAGGAGCGGAAATCAGAAGGAAAAGAAGTTTACGTTTTACCAACAAGATGAACTCAGAACTTGTTGGATTTCGCAAATAAGAGGTTTATAAAAGTAAGTACACCTGTGAACTTGCACATCTTACAAAGCTGAGAATATATTTTCAAGTTTAATTTTTATGAGTTATTTTTGGTTAAATAAATTTCATCCAGGGAATACATCAGTAATAACAAAAAAGTCAGTAGAGTTCACTAACATTATAATTGGGAGATTGAAATTATGACTTTGAGCTTTTATTTTTACCTGGAGAGAAACCTCACTCCAAAATAACCTCTTTCTGCCATCTGCTGGTCTAGTGCGAGGGCAGAGATCATGGCTTTCATGCAGCTTAATTTCAGTTGTGGGTGTTTGCAAAAATATTGATTTTTATTTCCTCATTTGTACAGGCTGAAGGTGTTTTACAGAGAGAAGAAAATACCATTTGCATTAACAGTGACTGTAAGTTACACAAAAAAGTTAGGTATAGATAAGGTTTGGGGTAGGGGTTGTAAAGCCTGGTAGGAATATCTGATGGGTGCAGCAAAATACTTCTTCAGATACAAATGTTGCTTTTATTGACCAAAACTTGTCACAAATCTCTTCATCCAATACATAGCAAGAGACTCAAAGAAGTAAAAATCTTTAAATATCTAGATTTTTTTTGCATAATAGCTGAACTTCAAGTACCGATCTTAAATACTAAGTAGACATCTATTTTGTTTACTAATGGGTGTTACAAGGTATTAAAACCAAGCCTCATTCAAGCCAAGAAAAATATTGCTAATAATTGGAAATTAAATAAATTCTTTAAAGAGAAACATTTCTTTCATAAATTTCCATTTAACATTTCTGACTACACTTCTGTTGAAATTGCCATAAACTGTGAGGTGTTTAACGGAAAGCATGTTCTGAAATGACACTGTACATTTTTATGTTTAAAGCGTTTGGATGTAGTTCTCTGTTTATCATTTGTTTACAGTAAAGTCCCACACACTGGACTTGAACAAGCCATCTGATATGATACCAGGTTCTGATAGTCACGTGTTTGTTAGCCTGAAAGGTAAATACAAAATTTTTGTCAATAGTTTTTCCATAGGTGACAAGAAACATGCCCCTTTGTGCTGCACATTCCTAAATATAGAGACTCTGTTCCATCCTAGTTTTTCTGCCATCATTCAAATGATCTGTGCTGTGTGCTCAGATCATAAAACAAAACAGCCCCAAGGCTGATCTCATATTTTCCCTCCTGTGAATAACTCCTATTCACTTATATTTCATATAATAGCTTTATGAAGTTCATCCTGTGCCCAGGCTAACTTTATGGGAACGCCAGAGAAGAAGGGAAGAGTTCACCTTCTCTAGTAACCCCACACTGCAGGGTTCTGTAGAAATCTGCTTTATTCTTCAGAAAGAAGGCTGCTTGACTGGAAAGTTCTGTTTTACTAAAGATAAGATACATGCAATAATAGAATTATAGAATCATTAAGGTTGGAAAAGACCTCTAAGATCATCCAGTACAACCATCAACCCACCACCATCATGCCAACTAAACCATGCCCTGAAGTGCTTAGGTCCACACGTTTTTTAACACCTCCATGGACGGTGACTCCACCACTACCCTGGGCTGCCTCTTCCAATGCCTGATCACTCTTTCAGTAAAGAAATTTTTCCTAATATCCAAACTAAACCTCCCCTGGTGCATCTTGAGGCCATTTCCTCTTGTCCTATCACTGGTTACCTGGGAGAAGAGACCAACCCCCAACTCGCTAAAACCTCCTGTCAGGTGGTTGTAGAGAGTGATAAGATCTCCCCTCAGCCTCTTTTCTAGATGACACAACCCAGTTCCCTCGGCCACTCCTTGGAAGACCTGTTCTCTAGACCCTTCACCAGCTTCTTTGCTCTTCTCTGGACAGGCTCCAGCACCTCAATGTCCTTCTTGTAGTGCAGGGCCCAAAACTGAAAACATTATTCAAGGTGCAGTATAATCATATATGAATTAAATCAAATTATGGTATACAAATATATATATATATTTATGCATATGTATTTTTAAAACATAAACTAGCAAGTACTCTTATTAATGTTTTGTTTGTTGTTTTTTTTTTTTCCCAGAAAATGTAAAATAATGCATTCCTGAAGCACAGAATACTGGCTTCCATTTCAAATCACTGTTGTAAAGTATGGGAATGCTTCAATTCATCAAATGAGAAAAGTGCAGAGAGGAGAAACAAAACCAAAACTAAACTAAACAAAAAACAAACAAATCATCTGCACAAAAAGTTTGGCATAATTAAGGCCTGACTTTTTGCCCTTTGTGGGAGGATCAAGTCTGGTTTGACAAGACTTTTTCAGCCCAAACCTGAAGCACCAGTCTTTCCTCCTTCTCTTTGCTTCCCTGCCTCTGGTGGCCTCAGGACTCTTTCTCCTCTGCACTCACTCGGTGCCCCAGCCTCCCTTCTCCAGTGTTCATAGGGCTTGGGACATCATCCTTGTCCTTCTCCAGCCTTAAAAAGTCATAAGCTGCTGAAAACAGTGTCTAATAATGAGAAGTATCAGGCTGCACTGGAGTGTCAACGTACAGTTACTGTCACCATTCTTCATGTTACATCAGCCAGCTTTAAACACAGTATGTATTGTGGCTTGTGTTTTTCACAACAGGAAATCTCATGGATGAGTCTGTTGAGAATTGTCTTAGTCTCACTGGAGTTGAGAAGCTCATTAAACTGCCTACAGGCTGTGCAGAGCAAACAATGGTGAAAATGGCCCCTGCAGTCTATGCTATTGAGTATTTGGATGCCAGCGAGCAGTGGGTGAACATGGATCCTGAAAAGAAGGAGGAAGCCATCAAGATGATTGAGAAAGGTATGCAGCAAAAGTCTCAAAGACCAACGGGCACTGTCAGTGCTGTCCTTCAGCTCTGCACACTAACCATTGCTACTCACCAAAGGAGTGAGCGTTATCCCACAGAAATGCCTCCGACAATCTTCAGACAGACATGAAAGAAGTGGTGAGGAGGATTTAGGTGACTAATTGCCTACATCTGACATTGCACAGTATTGACATCCACAGTCTACCCTCTCACTTGTCTAGTTTAGAAGCAGAAAGTAAAATATGAGCTGATTAATGTCACCTCTTTTCAGAGTAAATGGTTAGCAAAGGCCAGCTGATCATTTCCTCCTAATGTAGATGTGCAGAATAGATCAAGATTAATCATGTCCTGTTTCTCCCCATAGATCATAGGCAGTGCTTAGGATTGCCAGCTGGGATGTAGACATCTCTGTTGGAGATGTCTGTAGTTGGCAAGTATCTCTTGACAACTAATGAAAGTCTCAGAGGTAATCATGCTATTGACAGTTTCTCTTCCATACTCCTGTATTCATTATATGAGCTAGAATGATCTTGGACCAACCCAGGGAGGGAGTTTCCTTAGGAACAGGACAGCTGCAAAGCTGTTTCTTGAAGACCCCACTCCAAGATGGGATCTGGAGTTAAATGCACAACAAAGCCAGGACAACATATGGAAATGGAGTTGTTCCAGTTTACAGGCACAAATATAGAGCCCAAGAGTTGTCAGTATTGTGGCAGGTGCAGCTGATCTTTCTAACTGTAGTAGTGTGCACATAGCATAAAGCAATACAAGGTACTTGTTTTTATGATCTTCAGACAACATGTGACATATTTCATCAGTGAAAATTAAAGGTATAAGTAGAGATTAAAAACCTGCTAAGAGTTGCTGAACTGAGGTCTTAGCCTATTTACCTAGGATTCCCTGAAGTCACATGAGATTCTGCTGATGAGGGTTTGGTATTATCAGCAGCATTTAGTCCCTATTTCATGTTTTTATTGATTCTTATCAAAGTTCAGCAGATAGAAGATGGGTTGTGTGGCTATGATAGACTTTGTCAATATAATAGCAGTCAAGACCAGAAGCCACAACTTGTAATTTCCTATGATGTTTTGTATATTTTTTTATTCCTTACACCATAAAGAGAACAGCTTGAAAAGTTGTCAGTAATGGGAAATATATTTCCCAATATTCACTACACAGAAAATGCTTTGTAACTATAGATACCTGCAGTTTCCAGGTTATTCTCATGATTCAATTAAGTCAAACAAGACAAAACACCTTCTAAGCCTAAAGCTTTTTCTGTGTCAAACGCCTGCTGACCCAATCACTTCCAGCTTAATGTACCAGAGAACATCTCAATCTACTCTTCCACTAGTCAATACTGTACATGTCCATGTTAATCCAAGTAATGTATGAGAATGCCCAAGAAATATGTGTATCACCTGAACAGTTATTTCCTGTCTTGTTCATGCAGGTTATACTAGAGTGCTTGAGTTTCAGAAGGTGGATGGCTCCTATGGAGCATTTAAGTCAATCCCCAGTAGTGTGTGGTAAGTGTATTTTTCCATTTGATTTTCTTTACTTTTTGTTGGTTTGGTTTGGTTTTTTTTTTTGTGGTTTGTTTTTCTTGTTGTTGTTTTCCAAAATACTTCTGTTATCATTTGATACATTAGAAGTTTTTCTGGGGAATGGATTTTCAAAATCTGGAGGGCATGGTGTTGCCTGTGTATTTTTGTCATAGATAGTCAACCCTCTTAGTCTCTGAGCATGTTTAGTCCTTGATGAATAAGATTTCTACTGATCCACTGATTATTTTGCATTTGTCACAATGAAGAAATGTGCATGCTGATGTTGAATGAGCACTCTATAGTGAGTGCACTGTATTGAATATGATTCTATGTACAAAATTAGTATGTTCCTTTCCCTGTCAATATACTCTTCTGTAAATACATGTCAGCACAGGTTTGGAACTTTCTTTTTTGTGTGTGTGTGTGTGCAGGTTAACTGCATTCATTGTTAAAGTACTCACAAGGTGCAGAGAATTCATTAGTGTCCAAGACAGTGATATACACAAGTCGATTTCCTACTTGATTAATCAACAGCAGGCAGATGATTCATTCCATGACCATCACCCAGTACTGGACAGGACTATGCAGGTAGGTCATCCAAATTTAGAAAAAGCTGTTGCACATTTAGGGATGGCAGGGATCAAAAGGAATATTATTAGTTGTTGAGTAGCAAGAAAAGTATCTAAAGAAAACAAATCTGTAATGTAACAAGTACAAAATCTGTAATGTAAAATTAATTTGTTAAAAGATCTATTATGCCAGTTCCATAGCTAGCACTTCATCACTTTTATCTTTTGATCCAGTCTTAAATAATTTAGCAGCTGACCTATGCCTCTAGAGCACTTAGAAAATTAATTCTCAGATATTTATGCTTGCTAAAAATGTATATCTTTTATTGCCAAAGGCAATAGAGCCATAGAATTGTAATTTAGTTTTGAAGGGACCTCCAGGGACATCTAGTTGAACCTGTGCTAAGACCAGGTCTAGTTAGAACTAATTTCACAGAGCTGTGTCCAGCCAAGTCTTGAATACCTCCATGGGTGAGGATCCCACAGTCTCTCAATGTTTAACTTCTCCCATGATGAAAAGAAAATAAATAATCTTAACACCTAATTTGAATTTTCAGTTCCATACATTAATCGACATATCCCCTATAATTGTCCAGAAACACAAAACTGTAACACAGCTAGGATTTTAAAAGAACGTGCATCTTCCAAAAATCATTGAAAATGCAGATACCTCTGTAGTGATCTTATATGGAAAAAAATGTAAGAATTTTATTAATGACCTTTGTCAAATCACTAGTTAGACTTTCACCCTGAAAGCCAGTTTCACAGTTGATGTAATACTGCCGGTGGCACAGGGGAACAGCTCAAGAACTGAACAAAGATTTTTTTGACCTCTGCTCATTCTGAGATATTTACCTTCTATTTTACATTTGCTTCAGGAACTGTGCATGATAATTTTGTACAGAGGCTTAAGTCTTTCCAAGCAAAAAACCTGTCCTCCTAAGGATAAACATTTGGGGCTAAGTGAAAAAGAAAGTTGTTGGCAAAAGTTGTTAAAGGTTGTTGAAGATCCTAAGGTTGTTGTCAAAGAAGAGCACAACCAAAAGAATCACAAAGAATAACAGGAATGAAAATTCAGATATTTATGGGGAAAAAGCTAATGAGAGCACTGTGTTTAGTATATGAAGAAGAGGAATAAGAAACTATCTAGTAATGGAGTGTAAATAACTTTACAGGAGAAAAGTTCTGGGTGTTAGAGGGCTCTTTAGTCTATGGGGTGTGCTTGGAAATTTTAAGCATGAATATTCCAATGAGAAACTGTAGATTTTTAACTACAAGTTAAGTAATTAAATATTTTGTTACCAGCTGAAGGATGTATCAGGTTCCTTATCTCTTAACATTGTTTCGTGAAACGTGACTGCAATTTTAGAAGAGATACTTTAGGTGGACACAAGTTACTGAGCAAAAATAAAAGGTAAAATGACATTGTCTGCAGCCAGATGCTCTGATAAGAGGTCCCTGACTGTATGACAAGTGATTTTCTAAACTTTATCACAACCTTACACATGTACATTTAACTTTTCCTTTTCATGTTTTGTCCTTCAGGGTGGCATTGGGTCAGCAGAAGAGGATTTGGCATTGACAGCCTTTGTAACCATAGCATTGCAACAGGCTGTACAAGCCTACGACTCACTTGATGGGGTAGGAAGCCTGACTTTTATCTTTAAGTCTGAAGGGTATTGCTCAATGGCATGTCCACCTTACTATCTCACAATGATAATAGGTAATGATGATGATGACGAGGAGGTAAAAGTCCATTTACATCCATGGTAGATAAGAAAAGATGCCGTGGCCTATTGATGTACAAGGTGTTTCAAGCTACACACTCCATCATAAATGGCTTTAATCACTAAGCAAAAAACATGAAAATTGTCTCAAAAATTGCTACAGTGAAGTTTTCTAATTTCCTAGTACTTTGACCAGCAGTAACAGTTAGCAGGGCTGAATGACCTTTCCAAATGGATCCATTCTCTTTTCACAGGTACAGGGGATTAGACGAGCAGTGACTTACATGAAAAATCAACTTTCAAGAAATACTAACTGCTATTCTACAGCCATCACTGCTTATGCTCTGACACTTGTGAGCTCTGAAAGTGAAGAAGCTCGGTTTGCTAAAGAAAAATTAAGAGACTGTTCTACTTTTGATGCAGGTAATGGTAACCATTCTTTAAAATTCAGTTAGAAAGCACTTTTGCACATTAAAGCACTCTGTGCACTCATTAAAGTGTATTTGTTATTTTTGTTTGAATAAAACAAATTCAAGTAAATTAAGACCATTTAATTTCATAGAAACTTATTTGCATATATTTAATATACTTAATTATTTAAATTACACAACTAAATATTTCAATGTTGGAATTACAGTATGCAAGTTGTATAATTAATATAACTATAAAGTAACTACTTAGCATTGTGAAGTTTGGATCATGATCTTACCCGATTCTGGAATTGGAACAAAACCGTGGTAGTAATTTACCTTTTCTACTTCCCTTGTTGCCTACCAAAGTCTTCACACCCCTAAAGTGGAAGTAAAAAACTACATATAGGATTAGTCCATACTGGATTTGTGATCAAGAGAGAAAGTGTCTTTTCCAGCCCTTTTCAAAGCCCCTCACCAGTCCTGAGTGCTTTATTCCAGCTCCACATGGATGTCAACTCTTTCCAACTCAATGTGTGGCTTTGGTCAATGCTGAGTCAGTTGGTTGTGTGGCTGCACTGACACATCATTAATTTCTCCCAATTTGTTTGGTTTACAGTTTAATAAAACATAGTTTCAGCGTAGGCAATATGCATCCTCTTAATCAAGACTGGATGTGTGGGCATAATTAATATCATAATCTCTTGGGGAACATCACACACAATGCTACCACTCCATCAGATGAACATTGCTGCACAGTGGGATCATTAAGCTGTGATGGCTGGATAAGTCAAAATTCAAAACTGTTGTTTTCCTTTTCCACTATCTTTTCTTCCCAAATGATTTTCTGACAGTGCCTGTGTCTTGTGGTTCCTCAGGGCTATGACATGAAATATCTGCTGTGTAGAAAAATAATAATTTTGGGCAAGTGTATTTACAAAGTTACTGAGTTACTCTTGCAGCGAAGCAGCAGCGCTACTGGGGGAACGGCAAAGATGCAATCTCGGTGGAAACCACTGGCTACGCGTTGCTTCAAACACTGCTCCTGAGAGACCTGGAGTATGCAAGGCCTATTGCTACGTGGCTGACAGAAAGAAGGAACTATGGTGGAGGATTCTGCTCTACACAGGTGCCTGGCCCACAGTCTGGGTGGAGTTTCTGGGGGAGGGAAGAAAATGGAAGCCTCAGAAAGATTTTCTCACTTGGATTTGAAAGCATCGTAACAGTTAATCCTGAACTTCTTTGGTGTCTGAAGCACTAAAGATTTTGGTTCCTTAATAGAAAATGGGCCAAAATAAAAGTTATAAGCCAGCAAAGATTCTTTGCCTTTATGAAGACTTATGATAATCAGAGATTAGAACTCCAGTGGTTTTAGGATTTTAATGCTAAGAGAAGAAGCTGGAAAATAAAAGAAATAGTCTGCGCAGGTAGGAACAGACAGATGCAGGAGAACTTCAAAGTGGAAAAAAACATAAAACTGAAAAATATCTTCAGGTGACTGAACATGTGATCTTAGATGTTGAAATAAACTGGCATAATTGTTAGATTTTTGCATTTCTTTCTCACTAGGACACAGTGGTGGCCCTAGAAGCTCTGTCAGCATACAGCATACAAACATTGAACACTGCATCCACCAACCTGACTGTAAATCTGGGAACACCTGGAAAACAACATGACTACAGTATTACTCTGACTGATACTGGTGACACAGTTCAGAAAAAGCTAGAGGTACACAACGATTCATTGTTTCAAACCTTTTTCCTCAAGACACTGGGGAGAAACATTAGATCATCTGGCTTAGGTTTTCTCATGTTGAGCAATCATGGCACACCTGGTTTGCAATATTTTTTAATAATTAAATCAGTAAAACAACATAAACTTTTTAAAGAAAAAAAATCAACAGCTACTTAGAAGCACAACTTAGAGGCCCTTTCTTGCCTATTCAAGGACCCTGGTGACATGAATCTCCCCTAATAGTGAAGAGCAGCCAGGAGCCCAAGTCTTACTAAGAAATGAGGAAGAAGAGTAATATGCTGGTATTTGTGATGTTGGGACCTGTGAAAATGTCAAATCCAGGGTACAGAGGAGAGAGTTAAGATGGGAAAATATGTCTCCTGGGCCCCACGATGGCACAGTAAGATGCATCAGCTCAGCATACTAAAAATCTTATAATACTTGAGGTCTCATAACTCCTTCTGTATCTAAAGATTTTCTCTACCCCAGTTTTGAAGGGTAAAGGCATAGAAAATCATCAAAACTGCAGGAAGATAAATTATCTATTGCTGAGCTGACCAAATGCTGCCTAAATCTCTCTCTTTTGTTTATTTATTTCTTTCTTTCCTTGTTTTGCAGTTTGAACTTGGGAGAAAAGTTGAAGTGTCTGTAGATGGCAGAGGAAATGGGACAATGAGTGTAAGCTGTAAACCAGAAATTCAGAGTCCAACTGGACTTCTTCTAATCCCTTTTTGAAAACACAGTGAGAAATTACTTGCCATGGCTTCATCCTTTGTGTTCCTACCTCCAAATTTCTAAAAATCATGGTCTACAAACTGCCTTGGTGTGCAGTAAATTTTCCTGGTTTTCAGTGTAGGTCCATTAAATGCTTATAGAGGAGGATGGAGTTTGAAAGGCCCCTTCGTGGTTGGGAATGGAAAATTATCTCAAAGGTCCCACGCTATTTGTGATGTGCATCTTCTGCTTATACCCATGGCGGTCCTCTGTGACCAGCCTGTGCATCTGGGAGACCAGTGTTTCTTTTCACAGTTCCTTGTCCCATCAGCATTTGCTGAAGTCCTGGATGAGTAAATACCTTATAATTTAAATTATATTTTTAGTGGTTAGCTGTTTGTGTGTTCGTTTTAGGTCCTAAAAGTGTACTGGTCTTCTGAGCTGAAGAACAACTCGTGTAATGATTTGATTTTGACAGTGGAAATGGAAGGGAGTATTAAATACTCTGGTGAGTGAAAAGGGAAGACGTTGGCTCTCAGAGGTAACAATTTTGACCAGCTGCTAGTGATACTTAATGGCTTCCAACCTTGGAAAGTGGGAATGAATGAATGAAACAAGGAAAGACAGAGGTTTCTGAAACTCTGCCTAGCTATTGTTTCATTCAGCTTATTCAAGTTTTTATATAGTTTAATAACTACCTGTAAGACTGTAAGTGCAGCCGGTACCTAACAGGTACTATTAGTAACTCTTCTTGGTTACTGAAAGGAAAGTGAGGTAAACTCCCTTCATGGTGCTCCTGTCTGCCATGAGGGGAAAGCCCAGCTGAGTTCCCCTAGTAAGGTACCTACCATGTAGTCCTTCTTTGAGGTAGATCTGTCATAGGTTTTGCGTATGAGCAAGACTGTTTTCCATCCCCTGAAGTGTGAATTTATTATCCTCTCTGCCTACATCTGCTTTTTTTTTTTTTTTTTTTTTTTTTTTTCTGTTTCAGTAGCTCACTTCTGGAGGCAGGAATTGTTCTTCACATATTTATATATAGCCTAATCCACATTCTTAGTGAAATCTGTTGGCTATTCTAACTCTAATTATCTCTAAAATTTTAACTCTGAATGATTTAGAAATACTGAGATAAAACCCATATAAATACTGAGATAAAACCTGTAGAGACAACATGACTGTCCAATTGTTTTATCATTATACAAAAGGAGCCAAATTACTGGGTCCTCAGCCATTTTTGTCTGTCACCTTCAGAAGCTGAATACTCTGATGAAAACTATGATTATGAGGACCCATCTGCTGCAGATAGTGCCACATTTGAGCCACTATCTGAAATTGAGTGGTTTGATATCCACAGCAGAAGGAAAAGGGATGTGGTGTCTCCCAGTAAAGCAGAATTACTGCAGTACAAAGTCTGTGTCAGGTAGGTCTGCAAGATCACCTCACCATTAGAAAATAATTCATTTCTGTTTGTAATTCTTCTTGGTCACCCTCTTCATATCTGCAAGCTTAGTATCCAACTTGGTGATCTGTGAGACTGAATACATGGTAAGTCTGCATCCTCTCTCCTTTGGCAAGAAAATAGTTTTCCACACACTGTTATTAAGTTTAGACTGTTTGCGTAGACCTGAGATGTCCATTTGCAGTGTCTGGCCCATCAAACTCTCAGTAGACTCTAAAGCACCTGCCTGGCTAACAATCTGAAAGAAGTCTTTTATTCACAATGGAATTGGAATGCAGTAATAACATCGAGCTTCATTGCTTTCTGGAGAGATGCTGTTAGTTCCTTTGTGGTTACACTCTGGCCTCATGTAACAGAAAAGCTGTCTACTACTATTTGAGAGAGGAGGCAGAAGAGATACACCATTGTGGCAAACAAGAAGCAGGCAAGGGCAGAGCTAGTGAGAAAGAAAACCTCCCATGCAGAATTAACCTGAAACATCTGCTTTGGCTCCCCTTCACAAGATGGCAAGGGTAGCACAAGGACAAAGTAATGGTTGTCCTCCTGAGTTCCTCTTCTAGAGCTATGAGAATTATCACCTTGGACAGCAAATGTGATGTAAATTTGACTTTGTCCATGAAAAATTAGGATAAATTCATTTTCTCACTCCACTCTTTAGATAATAGAGAACAGACACTTTGTCAGTGCTGTTTACCATCCCAGTCTTCAGCAGTATTTTATGGTGGGATGGGCTGTCCTTTGAAAGTAATTGTTTCTGCCTACCATCTATAAATAAAAATAGATTAGAAGCTCAAGCAAAATGCTTGGGTTTTAGATGACCATTTGACTAGTTTAGATGACTACTTTTGCCCCATGACTCTTAAAGAGGTAGGCAGCTAATTTTCAAATTAAAAACCACTTAGCAGAGTTAAATGAACCAGAATGATTGATTTGTTTCACCATTAACAAGCCTGAACAGCCAAACTCTTCAGAGCAAGCTCGCTGTTCAGTACAGATTTTCACTGATGATGGTCTCCCTCATAAAGGTCCACAGGTTCCAATGTACCAAAGATGTCCCTGGTTGACCTCTCTCTGCTGAGTGGCTTGGAACCTGACACGAAGGATCTTGAGCAGGTTAGAAACACACTTTTCTGTGTCATATTTTCTATATAGCCTTTTCTATAGAGAATTTGTCTTCCTAAGTCTTTCCAAAGTCCACAGAATGAAGAAGGGAAAACAGATTTTGGATAGATATATTTTCATTCTTCTTACTCCGATAAAATATTCACAGAATATACATACAAGAAATGAAAAGCTTGAGGTGAGCAGAGTTCCATCTTCTAAGAACTTTGTAATAGAAATTAGGGCAAAGCTTAGCAGGACACTTAAATACGTGCCTATCCTTAACAAAAATTTCTGTCCCCACTGACAGTGTTGTCCCCTGACATGTCAGGACAGTGTGCCCTGTGCTTGCAGGGGGGGATGCAAGCACATCTTTTAGAGGAAGCTGAAAAGTGACAGGGAGATGGGGCACAGCTCTCTGTAAAGGTGGCTACAGGGTTCTGGGTTCTGGAGCCTGCTCAGCTGGGGGAGGTTTGCCCAGATTCATGCTTCCAGGGACTGTCTCCTTTAGGGAGGAAGAAAGGGCAGAATATAAAGAAAATAGCTGAAAAGAAAACTAGAATGCAGAGGTTGGTAGCAAGGTGTTCCTGTTATGCTGGGGTTTTTTTCCAATGTATTTGTTTTCCTGCAGCTGGTGATGTCTTCAGACCAGTACATTCAGCACTTTGAGTACAAGGAAGGAAAGGTTTTGCTTTACTTTGGTGAGGTAAGCAAACCCAAAGATTTCCCATTTTCTGCCGTTTCAGACAGCTTATAAAGACTTTTTAAAAAATCTAATCATTCTTGGTTTTCACACTCCATTACCCTCCTGTGATTTTTGTTATCTATCGTAATTGAATAGCTCAGCTGAAAGAGGGTGGAAGAGGGGAATTATGTAAATATGCACCTTCATTCTCCACCTTTCTGTGTTCCAGGAGATGTAGCCCATGTTTCAGATTTTGGCTTTGGCATAAAAAAAATTAGAAACTTTCTCTAGCCAGAAGAGATGTTTTTCATCCAAGATTAACAAAGTGTTAACTGGTGGTCCTGTAAATTCCAACATGGACACCTTGTATGTGAAGTTCAGTATTTCTGGATTGAGATACATATAGTGACAAACAAATGTAAACATCAAACCCTCTAGCTCCTGTGTATATTTATCCATATTTTGAATAATGACTTCACCCTACACCCACTTGAGTTGTTTCACCTCCATAGTGAAGGCTTGGGGGTCCCTATAGAAAGCACATACAGGGCAATTATTTTTTTAAATGTAAGATGATAGAGAAATGAAAAAATGTAAATGTTATTGCTGTTATGACTGCCCTAGGAAGTTTGTGAATTATTATAGGTCAAAATCTGTCCCTTTTTTACTAAGCAAAGTGTATGCACTGGCAGCTGCTGGTACAGGACACACTGTGAACATCAGTTACACCCATTACTCCTGTGTTAAGTGGCTTTAGGTGAAAGCTGAAAAGTAAAACCCAAAGTAGTGAGTTTGAGTTTCAAACAGAGCAAACCTGCACACATCTTCTAAAACTACCTTTACCAAGCTTAGCTCATCTGCAAAATCTCCCAATAAAATAATGGAAGGAAATGCCCTATTCAAGTTGAGGCTACAGCTATGCCATCAGAAACAAGCATTTAACAGCTAGTACAAGCACAATATAATAAGGAACTGACTGGGGAGAAAGAGTTAATCTACTTGTCATAACTATTGCTCTTTTTTCCTCCAGCTCACAAGTGGACCAGACCCAGACTGCATATCATTTGGGGCAAAGCAAATCAATCCCATGGGCTTGGTTCAGCCAGCAAATGCCATCCTTTATGATTTTTACAATCCAGGTAAGGGCACAAAAGGAAAAAACAACAACAACAACAGAAACACCAACAGATACATAACTGATTGAACAAGAAACCCTCAAGAACAAACTCCAATCTATAAAAAGGTGGTTTTGATATAGTTTGTGAAACCACGTGGTTTTGTCAAACGTTAAAATAACCTGCCTCAAATACTGTCTTTTACTACCATGACTTAAGACCATCTAAATAGGCATCCTCTCAGGAAGGGTTTGTTATTGAAAATGGACTGAAAATTACAGAATCACAGGTTGTTTTAGTTGGAAGGGACCTTAAAGATCAGCTAGTCCAACCCCTAGTTATGGGCAGAAACACCTTCCACAAAGCTAGGTTGCTCCAAGGCCCATCCAACCTGGCCTGGAACAATCCCAGTGAGGGGACAGCCACAGAATATACAAACTTTTACATTCATGGATTTATAAATCAGGTTTCCTGAGTTCCTGTTTCTCATTATGCTTTTAAGCATGTTCCACTCACATTAGCTTTTTGGTCAGACTGCCTTTCTATGCGTCTAAGATAGGCAACTTTAGAGGTTTGGCTTATGTACTGTGCTTGCTGAGGGAACCAGTCGTGTTCCCCATTTAGAGAAGGTTAAATAAAAACCATCCCAATTTGTCAGAGTAAGTAATGTTTGAAAATGAGGTCAAATTCCTTCCTTGCCTGAAGCTGAGGGATACAAGACAGTTTACACAAGGTTTAAACCATTAACTATTGGTGAACCTATCTCCTTCTTCAGAAATAGTGCAGTGCTCACTGTAGTTCTATGAACAAAAGATATTTTTAAGAGGGATGTTTTTCAGAGGAAACAAACAACCAAAAAAAGGGCAAGAGTACAACTTTAGAAAAACCCCAAAAAAGAACACAAGCTAAACAAAACCAAACCAAAAAGAAAAAACACAAAAAAACCACAAATAAACAAACAAATAAAACCACCCCCAAAACCAAAAACCAAACCAAGAACAACCTTCCCAAAATAAATAAATAAATACACAAATAACCCCCACACACAATTAACAAGAAAACTGAACAAAACCAAAACCCAAGCTAGGTTGTTGCCCAGCTGAAAGGCAAGGTGATCCCTGTACTCTAGGTGTCTAGGAAATAGGACTTTCTGGACTGCTGATGTGCATCTAACCCCTTAGTGTTCTGGTTTCTCTGGGCAAGGGAAAAGTTGGGCTGCAAGTGTGGGTTCTTCTGCATAGGCTTCCCAGCTGAGCTCTCTGAGACAAGCCATTTTGTTGCTTCTTCACAGACAGAAAGTGCAGCATATTCTACAATGCTCCCCAGCACAGTGCCATGCTCTCAAAGGTGTGCAACGCCAAGGTCTGCCAGTGTGCAGAAGGTAAGGGATGACTAACCAGGCTGGTCTAAAAAAAAGATAGTTACATCTATGAACCATTAATTTGAGAGCTGCTAAGCCCAGAAAGGACAATTATGATTATCCTAATGCATAATAGATGACACAGAGTACCCTCTAGTGTGGTCAGTACCAAATCGAAAGCTTCTTTTAAGATATCCATGATTGATTTGGCAGTTGAATGCAAGGTGTGAGCACATACGCATACATGCATATGTAAAAACCCTCCCCAGAAAAGTTTTTCTGCTACTTTATTTTACTTTCTGTTACAGTGTTGAGTGAATGGATATGTGTAAACTGTATTTTACTTAAATATCTATGCCTACAGAGACAGATGTAAAATTTATTTTCTTCACTCTAGGTCCCTGTCCAAGACAAAGACTGACTTTCAGTAAAGCTGTAACAACTGACACACGCTTTAGTTTCGTCTGCTACCATCCTATTGCAGATTATGGTAAGGTACAAAAGGCAACGGTCAATTTTGTTTAAACATAGATATTTTTTACTAAGGAAAAAATTGCCTTTTTATGTGCCAAGACCTCTCCTCAAATGAGTAGGGTTTCTGTATGTGGCCTAGTAGGCTGAGATAAAATGAAGTCATGTGCCATCACAGTCATCAGGAGGGAGAAAGAGAAAAGTGAGGGCCACAGAAAGATGCAGTTGGGTGTTGGGGGAAGGAAGCATGGACAAATTACATTACATGGTTTAGAAAAGCCCCGTGGTGTGTGCACAACCATCCCCTTCATCTCTACTATTACAGGACAGAGATGAAAAGTAGGCTTTGTGTGACATGCCATAGCTGAGCAGCTCCTTCTGTGGAGCTAGACAGATATTTTCTTCTTTGTTGATTTGGCTTTCTGACCTCTTCTTTGGATGGAAAG